ACATAGTCTCACTCTGTCACCCAGGCTGGAGTCAGTGGCAGATCTCAGCTTACTGCAGCCTCAGCCTCCTGGGTTCAAACAACTCTCCTGCCTTAGCCTCCCAAGTAGTTGGAACTACAGACGTGCACCACCACGCCTGGCTGATTTTTGCATTTTTAGTAGAGACGGGATTTCACCATGTTGGCCAGCCTGGTTCGAACTCCTGATCTTGTGATCCGTCTGCCTCTGCCTCTGGAAATGCTGGGATTACAGGCATGAGCCACGGCACCCGGTCAAGAGCACTTATTATTATTATTATTATTATTATTATTATTATTAGAGATGGAGTCTCGCTCTATTGCCCAGGCTGGAGTTCAGTGGGGTGATCTTGGCTTACTGCAACCTCCGCCTCCTGGGTTCAAGCGATTCTCCTACCTCAGCCTCCCAAGTGGCTGGGATTATTACAGGTGCCCGCCATCACGCCCAGCTAATTTTTTTTTTTAATTTTATTTTTAGTAGAGATGGGGTTTCACCAGGTTGGCCAGGCTGGTCTTGAACTCCTGACCTCAGGTGACCCACCCACCTCGGCCTCCCAAAGTGCTGGGATTACAGGCATGAGCCACCGCGCCTGACCAAGAGTACTTATTATTAAAGTACAAACTGACTTTGGTCAAATATCACAAATATAGGCAGCTTGTGAATTACTCATAAGAATTGAGGGTATCTTATTCATTTCCTTACACAGTACTAGCCATGGGTAACAAGTACAGACACTTAAAACCAACCAAAGTTCTTTGCCCCCCTCAGACTGTTATTTTTTGTTTTTTTTGTTGTTGTTGTTGTTTTTGAGACAGAGTCTCGCTCTTGTCGCCCAGGCTGGAATGCAATGATGCGATCTCGGCTCACTGCAACTTCTGCCTCCAGGGTTCAAGCGATTTTCCTGCCTCAGTCTCCCAAGTAGCTGGGATTACAGGCGCCTGCCACCACGCCCAGCTAATTTTTATATTTTTAGTAGAGACAGAGTTTCACCATGTTGGCCAGGCTGGTCTCGAACTCCTGACCTCAGGTGATCTGCCAGCCTCGGCCTCCCAAGTGCTGAGATGACAGGCATGAGCCACCGTGTCCGGCCTACCCCTCAGACTTTCAATAATGATTCCTGGAGTTCCTGGCTCACACATTACCTTACCACGTGAATCTCATCTATATCCTCTAAATCAGGTCCACTATGTGCTTTATTTTTCCTCAAATCATTACACAGTTCTTTTTTCCCCCAGAAATTAAGCTAGGCTAAGCATCAAAGATAGGCTTTATAAGACTACGTAAAGATAGCAGGGCTAATTTTGAATGCTTTTAAACTTGCAAACTCATGAAGACTCATTAGTAATGAGAAGAAGGCTTAGTATCCACGTTATAGATTAGAATATGTTCTCATAAGAATGAGTGGTGGCTGGGATCTGTGTCTCATGCCTGTAATCTCAGCACTTTGAGAGGCCAAGGCACCCAATCGCTTGACCCCAGGAGTTTTAGAGCAGCCTGGGCAACGTGGCAAAACCCCGCCTCTACAAAAAAAATAAAAAATAAATACAAAAACCAGCTGGGCGTGGTAGCGCCGGCCTGTGGTACCAGCTACTGGGAAGGCTGAGGTGGAAGAATCACCTGAGCCCAGAAAATCAAGGCTGCAGTGAGCTGAGATCGCACCTACTGCAGTCCAGCCTGAATGACAGAGCAAGACTCTGTCTCAACAAAAATGGGTGTTATATGCCTGGATATGCATATAGCCACAGTGGCCAATACAGTTTGCCAAAAGTAGTCTTAGAAGTCATAAAGGACCTAACACAGTGCAGAGAAATATAATACTATCCATCTCTCTAATAAATAAAATAATATGCTCACCCTCTGGTGGCCAAAATCGGAAATACACATCCATTTTCCTGGGTTATATCCAAAATATTAGTGTAGTATATATTAAGTTTCTGCTTCATATTTAACCTAAATCAAAAAGATTTTAAAAGAAGGCCATTGACTTTTTCAAAAAAATTTCTACCCCAATATCTAATGTAAAATCAACAAAATTACTAATTTAAGAATATGGCATGGCTCATATATATATATAAAACAGTACTTGATACTTAACCTTTAAATTTGTTTTAAAATATTAGAACTATAAAACATTAAAGTTGGAAGGAGTTACAGTGATCATGTAAGTCTATAACTTAAAACTGCATGTTAGATAATTTTTTTTAAATTTGCTAATGAAATAAACACATCTGGGTAAAGAGAATTGAATAGTAATGAGATTTAATTTTTATATTTCTAGTTTTAATTTATAAATATGCTAAAGAACTCAGAAATATTCATACATGTATATTCATTTTAATTTTCTACTCATTTTATCCAACTATCTTTCCAATATTTATTTTATATCTATTACAGTTTCTATGGTATATGCTAGGTTTTAACTCTTCTGTTTTCAACCTAGTCAAAGGTACAGATAAATGAACACCAATTCAAATATGATAGTGCTACACCAAAGGGTGAGTACTAAGTGTTAGTACCATCAAAGTAGTTGGTAAGGAGAGTAATCAGGAAAGGATTTTTGGGAAGAGTGACATATTCACTGATGTCTGGAGGAAGAAGAGGGGACAGGGAGGCAAAAAGGAAATGTTACATACAAAGGTAGGAGAGATGTGGAAATTGAGAGAATATAGAAGTTTGGGTGAAAAAAAATAGTCAAAGGTGAAAAGAAAATCTGAAGAATGTGGTGTCTCCAAAAGATCAACAATGTCTAACACTGGAGAGGAGACTTTAAAATATCCTCCAGATTTAATAACAAGAAAGTTATTGATGTCCTGGGAGGTAGCAACCACTGTTTGGTAACTCAGTGGAAACAGTGAGTGGGAGTCAAGAAAGTGGGCATAACAATGTGAACAATTCTTTTCATGTCCCTTTGCTGTGACAGGGAGGACAGAAATAAGATGATAGAAAGAGATGGGGAATGAGAGGCTTCTTAAAGAGTCTCAAATATGTATAAATAATAATGGGGGAAAGCCAATACTGAGGGAATGTTTGTAGATAAAATTCATTCCCTGGGGAGTTTTAATGGGCACACTGAGGAGACAGGCAGGGATGGAATCTGGAACACAGAAGAGATCTGACACATCTAGATGTCTTTTTTTTCTTTGAGAGAGCCTCACCCTGTCACCCAGGCTGGAGCGCAGTGGTGTAATCTCAGCCCACTGCAACCTCTGCCTCGGGCTCAAGTGATCCTCCCACCTCAGCCTCCTGAGTAGCTGGAACTACAAGTGTGCACCACCACTCCTGGCTAATTTTTGTATTTTTTGTGAAGACAGGGTTTTGCCATGTTGCTCAGGCTGGTCTCAAAAACTCCTAGTTAAAGCAATCCTCTGGCCTCAAGTCTCCAAAAGTGCTGGGATTATAGGCAGAAGCCACCATGCCCAGCCCATCTAGATGTCTTTTTAGTAAGGCTGGATAATGTGCTTTTAAAATTAAACCACATGCAAAATTACCTTTAAAAATAACATGGTCAATCTGTGCAAAACTGCCCTGAAAAAAGGAAGCACCACACAAACTTAAAGAAAACATTCTTACATGTCAATTAATTATATTTGGTGGGTTACAGAATTACTACCAACCTATGAGTCAAGTATTTGAGGACTTGAATTAAGTTTTTCTGGATATTCTAGTACCACAGTACTCAAGTAATCTTCAAAAAATAATTTACTTAAAGATACCAAAAAAAAAAAAAAAAAGTAACCTAGTTTGTATTCATTATATAGCTGATTCCCTTGGGTTTTCATTTACTTGGAAGAAAGTTTAATTTGAAACAAAATATCTTTGTCTTTTCTAGTGACTAGTTGAAAATAGAATGATTAAGACAGTATGTTTGGTTTTTCCCTGTAATAAGTGAGTAATGAGAAGGTGGGAAAAAGGCCTGATACGTCTAAGTGATGACAGTGGTGGAAGGTAAGTCTTAAATGCTCATTATTCCTTTTCTTGAGTTTTTATGATCCAGTATACCACTATATGTCACCTATCGTCCTATTATAAAAACTCCTTTACAATTTGGGACATAGATAAAAATTTCATTGTATGCTTTTAGTATCACAGCCAGGTAATTAATTTCTTGTAACTCAATACGTTGTGAAATAGAATATATGATCACATTTATTGGACTTACAAGGCATTTAGCAATTAATAAAATGTTTTCACATTTCATTACTTTTAAAGACACATCATCTGAAGAATTCAAACTGCTAGATGATAACCCATTTTATGGATAGCTAAATCAAGGGTTAAAAACCCAAATGACATTTAAACTATGTGCTAATATGTACTGGGTACAAAAATAATATACTGCCATAATGGTATTGATATTTCAAAAGCTGAAATTTACTGGCACGTATTCTGTTACTGATATTGTCATACAGTTATGAATTGTTTAATATAATTGTTCATACCCTGTACTTCTTTATTAAATGTAACATAAATTTAATTCCTATTTCATAATATATTTAATTAAAAGCAATCCACAAATAAATTCATGAAAGTTTACTATTAGAACAAAATATTCCTACTATTGTCATTAGATTTTGGCTTCTTTACATAAAAATAAATTTTTCCAAATTTTGCTTTAATTTCTTTTGTGTGATAGGAAAACTAAATGGCTACTTTGTATTTACCTTTTATTTATTTATCTTTTTTAGAGACATGCTTGAGTGCAGTGGTATGACAATAGCTCACTGCAGACTCAAACTCTCGGACTCAAGTAATCCTCCTGCCTCAGCCTCATAAAGTGCTGGTATTACAAGCATCAGCCACCACACCTGGCCAGTTTTTGTTTTATTTTGTTTTGTTTTTAAGAGTACAAAAACCTAAAGTATAGAGGATTTTGCCGAATGTGTTGAATACTACTTTAAAAAATCTTACCTGTAATTTTATTGACTTAACTATTTAAAAATAAAATGCGCTTAGATTTCCTACTAAATAAGAACACTACACAATGAAAGTATTACGTATATTTTAATAATAAGGTACATAGCATTGACATAAAATGAAAATGCATATAAATTGAATAGATTATTATTTAGGTACATCAGTTAAATTAAGTAGCATTTAGTTGTTTAATAAATAACAGACTAAATCTGAAATAATTCTTAGTTTGGTAAGTTCTAAGTATAATTATTTAAGAAATAAGAGAATATATACAATAATATATCCATTCTTGTCGTTCATTCAGAGGCATTACATGTTGACAAACCTGCATATAAAAATAGAAAGCTTTTATTCTCTTTTTATATATTGCTATTTTTGGCTAATTTTTAAATAGGACAACATTTCTAGGCCTTGTATAAGAATATCCCTGTACAGATAAAATTCTACAATATTTGTCCTTAGCAGAGACTAGTAATCTATGATCTGAGGCTAACAGGATAATCCAGTCTAAATTCTACCCTAATACAGTAGCTGTCAGTTGGTGTTTGTGAATGTGAGTAGAGTGGTAGAAAGAGGAGAAAATATCCTTTCCTTGCTAAGCCTAGAGCATTTTCTAAAATCTTAATTGGAGAAACAGAAAAGATAATCTCTTTATCCTGTTCTGGAATATTTTAGGATTTAATGGACAGTATGGAGAAAGAAAGGGTAAGAATAGGAAGCTTTTTCCTTTCTCCCTTCACTTGCCCAGTAGGTAGCTCTATTGATCTGTCCCTGCCTGGCTAAATCAGAAACCCAGAGTTCTGCTAACACTGGAACTATAGCTGTTTTCTAGCTCTTGACTTACTTACTTATCTAAAACTCAGAGGCATTTTCCTTCTCAGGATACTTTAGAAAATCTTAATAATGCAGATAAAAAGCATTTTGGGTTATCAAAATTCTTATTAATACTTTACATTTCTATATGATGTAAAAAACTACTTTCATGTACATCATTTTAATCTTTACATTAACTTTGTGAAGTACATAAAACTAGTGATACTATCTTTTTTTTTTTTTTTTGAGACGGAGTTTTACTCTTGTCACCCAGGCTAGAGTGCGATGGCGTGATCTCGGCTCGCTGCAACCTCCACCTCCCAGGTTCAAGCGATTCTCCTGCCTCAGCCTCCTGAGTAGCTGGGATTACAGGCGTCTGCCACCATGCCTGGCTAATTTTTGTATTTTTGTAGAGACGCGGTTTCACCATGTTGGCCAGGCTGGTCACGAACTCCTGACCTCAGGTGATCCAGCCGCCTCGGCCTCCCAAAGTGCTGGGATTACAGGCATGAGCCACTGCGTCCAGCCTAGTGATATTATCTTACTTTTACATTTAAAGAGACTGGAACATAGAAGTAAATGAACTTCCCATAGTCACTCAAACAGTGACAGAACTGGATTAGAACCAAAGTCTCCTGTCTCTGAGTATAGAATGATACTGATACAAATATCATACTTAAAATAATTTTCCACTCCATTTTATATCTACATGTTTACTCATAGCATTAATAGCAAATTTTTTTCAAAGACATAAAACAAAAGGCTTTAATTAGAAAATAATACATTACCATTGTAGATTTGGGTCCCACTTCTACCGCAAATATGTTGAGTCCTCTGTTGTTTACGCAGTTTTTACTTAGCTCATTGTTGATGTGAATAATCACTTTCTCATCTGACTATAAAAAAAAAAAGGTTTCATAAGTTGCTAGTCCTTTCTTTAATTACAGACAAATATAAGCTTCAGAATAAACCCTGAAATTGTTTTAACATCATATAGTGCACTACAAATTTATACAATTTGGCTGCTTCTTTCAACTTTGTTTCTGTTACTTTCTCTCTTTCTTTCCAATTTGTCACCATTTATATAAACTTTTTCTTTTAAATGTGACTAAAATTTACTCACCTTTTAATCTTCATTCCCAGGGTATTACGGATACTAGGGTCACATTATTTCATCTTTGACTTAGGATAGCAATAGTCTCTGTTTCTTTTGTTGTTATCTCTAGTTTTTTCAACTTCCATTCATTTTAATACTACCTTCCAACTAAAGTGTCTAAAACATCTTTTTACTCCTTCATTTACAATATATAAATATATTTATTATCAACTTTGTATCGGGCATTGTTTTAGAGTCTAGGTGCACTGAGATAAAAGATACAATTACTGACTCCTAGCTCACACCCTAGGGGAGACAGACAAATAAAATGACAATTACAGAACACTGCTGAGTCTTGTAATAGAGGTATTTAGAAGGATCTATAGAAATACGGAAGATGAACATTAGCTTGGACTGGGGTTTCAAGGAAGACTTTATGGAAGAAGGGACAACTGAGATAATAGACAATGGCCTCTAGGATGGACAGGGAACAAGGGAAAGCAGAATGACACTGATAAATGGGAAATATACAGGAATCAAACTATTCCCCTACTAAGAATCTGCGATCATATCCTAATGACTACTAAGGGGGTAGTATAATAATGTTAGACTATCTGAATTTATTTCTCAAGTCTTTTTTTTTTTTTTTTTTTTTTTGAGACGGAGTCTTGCTCTGTCGCCCAGGCTGGAGTGCAGTGGCCGGATCTCAGCTCACTGCAAGCTCCGCCTCCCGGGTTCATGCCATTCTCCTGCCTCAGCCTCCCGAGTAGCTGGGACTACAGGCGCCCGCCACCTCACCCGGCTAGTTTTTTGTACTTTTTTTAGTAGAGACGGGGTTTCACCGTGTTAGCCAGGATGGTCTCGATCTCCTGACCTCGTGATCCGCCTGTCTCGGCCTCCCAAAGTGCTGGGATTACAGGCTTGAGCCACCGCGCCCGGCCTATTTCTCAAGTCTTCTACTACTTAGCTGTGTAATCATTTGCCAGTTATTTAACTGCTCTGTGCTTCAGTTTCCTGTTTGTAAAATGAGAATAGCACTTATCTCATAGGGTTGTTGTGAGAAGTAAATGCCTGGCACATGATAGGGTGTAAAATGTTAGCATTATTATCACATTTTGGTGAAGAGAGTTGAATTTTCCTTGAGGAAAACAGAGGCAGAGAATTGAGAACTAATAGTTGATAGCAGAACAGAGGAGTTGGGGTAAGGTAAGGTAGTGACTCCCTTCACCTTTTCAACCCTAATAAAATATAGAGGGCAGAAAGGGAATCATGATGGATTTTAGGAATCACCCTCTGAGGCATGATTGGTCCATTTGAAAACTGCAATCTACTAGGTGGGGACCCAAGCTTAGTTAATCAAGTCTAAACTCCTCTATCTCGTTTTCAAGATAACATATATAATTTGGATCCATTCTGTATGTTATTTACCTCCTATTCCTCCTTCAAATAAAGCTGTCCATTTCTGCAAAGCAGATATTCTCACTCCTTCCTTTATACTTCATATATACCCTTCCCCTTGTTTCTCCTTACACTGTTTCCCCTGCTTCTAAAGGCTGTCTGTCTGCATATCTAAATCCTAGTCTCCTTCAATGCTCGAATCCCATATCACAGTTCCCTTCCCCCTCATAACAAATCCTTCCCCAACTTCTGTGGTTCAAATTAACAACTACAAGAGAAACAGAATGAAACTCCTGTCACACACACAAACAGTATTACATTATGTAACGTTTAATTATTCTCTGATGTCTTCCGAGAGTATTAATTTTGTCTTTCCAATTATAGGCCATAAACTCCTTGAACACAGAGATCAAGTTTTACATTTTCTGGTGGCTCCTACTGTGACTAAAATAGTTACATAATATATTCTCAGGTTGACTAAAAATGCCGCCAAATTTTAAGTATTTTAAGAAATTTATGGCAGGCGTAAAAATATGGCTCACCTAGGACCTAAAAGAAATAAGTCAACAGTACTGAGCACCTAGCCATCTTATATAAAGTTTTATGAAAATTTATAATTTCTAGAGAACTGGATATTTCTGACTAAGAATTTATGCTCTTATTCTCTTGACCTGTAATATCAATAGTATTAATAGCAGGGAAGAGAGCCAAAGGTAGAAATAATCAGCTTGATGAAAGTAGGTCTTGGACAGTAGAATACATTTAGTTAGATTAAATAATGATAATCTATAGGATCTCTGCAATGTTAGTGTAAAAAGCTGGGTTGAAATTTTTTTCTTTGTTTATAATATTTCTTTAAAACATGATATCTATTATTTAAATAGCTATGTATATATAAAAATGTTTAGAAACAAACTAAATACTTTGTATCCAGATTGTGCTCTATTCGCATTGATATCCAAATGTTTAATTTTCCTAATATTTTAAGAGAAAAAAATTAGAAACCTTTAAAAACCATATAAAAATTATCACTCCCAGTTTGAGTTAGAAACCTGAGGAGAAAAAATAATTATACATTATAAACATTATAAATGTGATGGGATACTTAATTACCACGTAGGAATAGAGTAAGGAATCAGATGAAATATATTAGTAAGCTTTATGGCAAAATGAGGAAAACCACCTCATAATTGATACCTTGTTTTCAATAATTGACGTTATCCAGGTGTCACAACTGTAAGTATGCACGATTATATTTTCATAGCCATCCATTACTTTGGCATCACCCTTGCTAAGAACAGATTTACAAATGGCCTTCTCAAGTTGTCCACTACATGCCTCCATATGGACAGCTTTAATTTTTGGCTTGCATTTTTCTGCATAGATATCAATGACAAATGGACATGCCTGATAGGAAAAAAAAAAATCTTGTTTTAGCCTTTTGATAGAATTTTAAATAAATTATTAATATGTTACCATATAAGAAGATATGCTACACCTTCCAGCTTGTCCTTCTAATATGCTTTTAGAGGAAAATTTTAGTACTATGAATTGAGTAATAAGCAAGCATGAAATCCTGACTTTTTAATAGCATACTAACTGATAATGTTCATAGAAAAGAAAAGAATAACCTCTAGCAAATCAGTAATACATTACCTTCTTTAAGCCATAATACCATCTCTCCATTTGGTTCAATGCTAACAAATACCATGTTATTTAATTATCTTTTCTAAGGTGAAGGCTACAGAAAGAATTCATCAAACGGTTCTAAAGAAATTATTACATTTACAATCGAAGCTTACTGCATGGACACAGAGCACTGACTAAAGTTTAATCTAAAAACACCTTTAAAATATGAGACCTAAAAATATTTTCTGCATTCGGAATGAAATTTTTCTAATATCTACCTTAGTCTTTTTACCACAGCCTACAATGTGGTAAAGAGCCTTTGCCTGTCCATCCAACCTGGTCTCCTGTGTCTCTATGCATCAGCTATCCTGATCTTTCAGATCCTAGAGCAAATGAAGCCCTTCATACATAGTGTTCTCTCCACTTGGAAAGATTATCCTCATGCATTTTCACATGGGTACCTTGTCCTCCCGCTTCAGGTTAAAGCTTAAGTGCCACCTCCGCAGAGGGATCTGCTCTGGCCACCTCAATCTCCCTCACTCCCCCACTGTTTTCTGTTCTCTACTTCAGCCTTTGAGTTGTTTCAGAACACCTTGGAAATTTTTTTTTTTTTTTTTTTTGAGATGGAGTTTTGTTCTTGTCGCCCAGGCTGCAGTGCAGTGGTGTGGTCCTGGCTCACTGCAACTTCTGCCTCCCGGGTTCAAGTGATTCTCCTGCCTCAGCCTCCTGAGTAGCTGGGATTACAGGTGCCCGCCACCACATCTGGCTAATTTTTGTATTTTTAGTAGAGACAAGGTTTCACCATGTTGGCCGGGCTGGTCTTGAACTCCTGACCTCAGGTGATCCACCTGCCTCGGCCTCCCAAAGTGCTGGGATGACAGGCGTGAGCCACTGCGCCTGGCCAATATAATTTTAATTAATTAATCATTCTCCGTGGCATATAAATTTCATAAGGGCAGGACCTTTGATTATTTTATTCATCTTTGTATCCTCAGTGCCTCTTTCCTGCAGTTATCACATAGTAGGTATTCAATAAGTATTTGTTGAATAACTGAATAAATTCACAAATTGGTGGTCATCTTTTAAGGAAATAAAAGAAAGAAGTCTGAAGTTAATTTTAGTAGACCATAAACAGAAATTTTTGTTTTTAAAAATATTTTAATCAACTTCAACCTTTGGCAATAATAAATTTGCCTTTTTAAGAGAAATAGTAGAATGAAAAATCATTGCACTAAAAAGAAGACCTGGGTTGATTTTTCATACACATCACCTCTGAAAAAATTTTTAAAGATTATTTACAATAATTATGAGTATGACATTTTTAAAGGTTTATTTGTTCAGTACTAGTAAATTCTGGTAATATTCTGCCATTTTTTAAGTCATGGCTATCAGTTTTATTCAACCAAAGAGGATCAATATTTGAATATTCACTGAAAGTAAAACATCTTAAAAGGTCCATGTTAAAACATATTCTCTAATTTTTTTTTTTTTTTTATACTTTTAAGTTCAGGGGTACATGTGCAGATTTGTTACACAGGTAAACATGTGTCATAGGAGTCTGTTGTACAGATTATTTCATCACCCAGGTATTAAGCCTAGTACCCATTCATTATTTTTCCTGATCCTCTCCCTCCTTGTACTCTTCACCCTCTGATAGGCCCTAGTGTGTGTTGTTCCCCTCTATGTGTCCATGTGTTCTCATTATTTAGCTCCCACTTATAAATGAGAACATGTCGCATTTGGTTTTCAGTTCCTACATTAGTTTGCTAAGAATAATGGCTTCCAGCTCCATCCATGTCCCTGCAAAGGACATGACCTCATTCTTTTTTATGGCTGCATAGTATCCCATGGTATATATTTACCACATTTTCTTTATCCTGTTTTCCACTGATGGGCATTTAGGTTAATTCCATGTCTTCGCTATTGTGAATAGTGCTGCAATGAACATACATGTGTATGTGTCTTTATAAAACAATTTACATTCCTTTAGGTGTATATCCAGTAATAGGATTGCTGGGTTGAATGGTATTTGTCTTTAGGTCTTTGAGGAATCATACTGTCTTCCACAATGGTTGAACTCATGTACACTCGCACCAACAGTGTATAAGCATTCCTTTTTCTCCACAATCTCACCAGCACCTTTTGTTTTTTGACTTTTTAAAATGGCCATTCGGACTGGTGTGAAATGGTATTTCATTGTGGTTTTGATTTGCATTTCTCTAATGATCAGTGACGTCGAAGTTTTTTTCACATGATTGTTGGCTGCATGTATATCTTCGTTTGAAGTGTCTGTTCATTTGCTCACTTTTTAATGGAATTTTTTTTCTTGTAAATTTGTTGAAGTTCTTTATAGATATTGGATATTAGACCTTTGTCAGATGCATAGTTTGCAAAAATTTTCTCCCATTCTGTAGGTTGTCTATTTACTCTGTTGATAGTTTCTTTTGCTGCACAGCTCTTTAATTTAATTAGATCCCATTTGTCAATTTTTGCTTTTGTTGCAATTGCTTATGGCATCTTCACCATGAAATCTTTCCCCATGGCTATGTCTTGAATGGTATTGCCTAGGTTGTCTCCCAGAGTTTTTACACTTTTGGGTTTTACATTTCAGTCTTTAATCCATCTTGAGTTAACTTTTGTATATGGTGTAAGAAAAGGGTCCAGTTTCTATCTTCTGCATATGGCTAGCCAGTTATCTCAGCACCATTTATTGAACAGAGAATCCTTTCCCCATTGTTTGTTTTTGTCAGGTTTGTCAAAGATCAAACAGGTGTAGGTGTTCAGTCTTATTTCTGAATGTTCTATTCTGTTCCATTGGTCTATATGTTTGTTCTTGTACCACTTTTGGTTACTGTAGCCCTGTAGTACTATAGCCCTGTAGTATGCTGTTTTGGTTACTGTAGCCCTGTAATATAGTTTGAAATTAGGTAGTGTGATGCCTCCAGCTTTGTTCTTTTTGCTTAGGATTGCCTTGGCTATTCAGGCTCTTTTTTGGTTCCATATGAATTTTAAAATATTTTTTTCTAGTTCTGTAAAGAATGTCAATGGTAGTTTCGTGGGAATATCATTGAATCTATAAATTGCTTTGGGCAGTATGGCCATTTTAATGATATTGATTCTTCCTATCTATGAGCATCGAATATTTTTCCATTTGTTTGTGTCATCTCTGATTTCTTTGAGCAGTAGTTTGTAGTTCTCCTTGTAGAGATTGCTGGCCCCCCTTGTTCACTGTACTCCTAGGTGTTTTATTCTTTTTGTGGCAATTGTGAATGGGAGTTCTTTCGTGATTTGGCTCTCAACTTGACTATTGTGGGTATATAGGAATACTAGTGATTTTTGCACATTCTAAAATTTTTGAATTAAAATCTTATCACCTCTAAAAGAGTTGCCCTATAGTTTTATTTATTCTTTCTTTTCATGGGCTTGGTCTTTTATTTACTTATTTTCTTTATCCTACTAACTTAATATAGGAAGCAAACAACAAGCAAGAAAACTATTAACTGTAAATTATTCATTGTAAAACTATTAACAATATATGTGATAAGGAAGATGGGGAAGACTGTAATAATAAAACCTAGATTATGGGATGCTACTTAAATTTAGCACAATATTTAGCTCTCAACTACCTGTTAACCCATACGAAAGGGAAATAGAAAGTTATGTAGTGCTTAAACTTTAAAAAAAAGTAAATTCTCCCAGTTCTGAATCTAGAAAGAAATTAATATCACAAAATTCTATTTTAAAAAGGAAAACAGAAAAGAAAAAAAAGGGGCAAAACTAAACATGTAAGTTTTACCTATCAAATTCAGTAAAAGAGCAACTATTCAGTTACAGTGATAAAGAGGCAATGCCCTTAATAAAGAAGTTATACTACTCTTTAACAGAGGATCTTCATAGGCTGATACAGTGAATGTGTAATCTGTAATTCTACAGCCTAAATTAGAGAATTTAATAAGGAAAAATAAAGAAATAAGTAATAAGAATTTAATGAGAAACAATAAAGAAATTTAGTAAGAAAAAAGGTTTTAAATCTGTTCAACTGATCAGGAACAGCTCTACTTCAATTAACATAATTACGTTAGGCAACCAGTATCAGCTCCTCACTTTTGAAAGTCAGGCAATCAGAGATGGATTCACATGCGTAAATACACTGCTGAGTGCCAACTAATCAACAGTCTCATCCAAGTAACCATGCTTCCGCAGACACTATTAACTCATTTACGCCTCTAAAAGCCAGGCAATCCTTGAATTCCATGCTTCCCCCAAACCCTATATAAGTGAGCATTCTGCTCTTAGTGGAGAGACTGTGCCTGGCCAGCATAGCTCTCCTTTATAGCAAGCAATAAATTCAGCTTTGTCTTTTTATTTCAGTTCCTGAGTGGCAGTCTGATCATCATCTATTGATACTTTCCAATGTATACTGTATTTTTTTTTACCTTTTGAATTTTAATGATACAAATATATTATCTACTCAATAAATAAATAAAATTTAAATTAAATGTTAGCTCAGAAATCCTTCTTGCTTATAGTTTCAAAGGTAAATGACATCAGTAACTGCAGTAAAAAGTGTTAAATTGCTCTTAACTAATTTCCCTATTAAACAACAACATGAGTAGCACAATCAATATTGTTCATAGATTAGATACTGCTTTTACACATGGTTAAAATGTAGGAGTCATTGACTGTTAGGCTAAAGTGGGATATAAATAGTTACTGTAACTATTCACCTCCTATTTCTAAAAGTGGGAAAACAATAGAGAACCTCTCAGAAAACAGGTTAATGAAGGTTTTGAATGATGTCAAAACTAGGAATTAAACCAAAGTCTAAATGTATCTAAAACAAAATTTGTCAACGTTAGTATTGCTCTCGTAAGTTGATTCAAGTAGGGAAAAAGGACAAACACTATTTTTAATTTTAAGAGTATAAACAAATGTATTGTTATCTAACTTGTGGCCTGAAACGGAAACTCTTAAATTCTATATTTTAAATCTGAAATATAAATATAGAAATTAGCCTGGATAAAACAGTGAGATCCCCATCTCTACAAAAAAAAAAAGTTAAAAAATTAGCTGGGCATGGGGGCATGCACCTGTAGTCCTAACTACTCAGAAGGCTGAGGCAGGAGGCTCACTTGAGCCCAGGAGGTGGACGCTGCAGTGAGCTATGATTGTGCCACTATACTCCAGCTAGGGTGACAGAGTAAGACCTTGTCTCAAATTTAAAAATATATATATGTTCAATAAATATTTGTTGCATGAAAGAAAAAAAAATATATATATATATATAAAAAATATAAGGAAGGCCTGATTTTTAAATTTTTATTATCCCTATGATTTATTATGAGTCCTGATCAACTTCTATACCTATCATGTTAATGATAATAATGATGATGACAGCTGATACATACACAGTGCTTTGTATGAGCCAGCCACTGTTCCAAGTATTTTACAAATATTAACCCCAAAAGTACCCTTTATAAAAGGTCAGAAATCCAAGGTGTAATACAGATACATTCTCCTTATTCTAAGGGAGACTTTACACTGTTAAGACAAATCGTTTCCCTATATAAATGAGACTTTAGTAACTCAAATTGCCTTTTCCAATTTTAATTTTTTTAATACCAAATTTTTTTCTTGCATATTATGTGTTTAAACTCTTTTGTCTTTGAATTATTTTAATATTGGCAGTAACTAAATTTCAGGTGAGAACAAGAACTTGTATAAACTAACAGAAACATGTTGTTGCACCCAGGATTCATTCATATACTAACGTTCAAGGATGTGGGTGCCCAATTCAAAAGTTATATGTCAGGAAAATGTTCATAAAGTAAAATATTATGTACACTAAACCCACTGGCAAAACTTTAAGAATACTTTACCTCTGTCAACTCCAGAGCTTTATTGTAGCCCATAGAGTGTAGAGTTACCCAAAGGTCACAAGGATCTCCTTCTCGATCATTAGCTTCCATTAGATTCAAATCCATAAATCCTTGTCTTGTTAGTTCATTCCTCTTTGTATCAAAATTCTCTGTTTAAACAACCAAAAGTTTTTCTTACATAATTTAAAAATTCATAACTTTAATAAAATATCTATGATACATTATTATTCATAGATATTTATTTTTAAAGAGGCCTATGAATCTATGAGCAGTATAAAAGTGGAATAAAAATGGCTCAAAACATAACTCAGCATAGATACATCATAGTACACAATTTCATTTTTCAACAAATCCCGAAATTATAAATAGTGCAAATATATTCTAAAATTAGAGGAAACTGTAATATTTCTGGATAAATTCCAATCTGCCTGCCTATTTAGAGCATACATTGTTATATAAAATGCTTCATATGTATTTGCCACTTAAAGTCAGCAGAAACTGGATGAATTTGATATAATACTCCCCAAACTACTAGAGTTTCAGAAAGAAAGATATAAATAGTGTCATATTTAAGATTACTATATGCCTGATTCCTCTAATTTTAGCTAAATTGTCCCTGAGTCTTGAAAGACAGATAGATAATGGGGAGCACTTTGGAATCCATGAATCAACCACATTTTCCCAGGTAAGTCTATGCCCATTTTAACACTATTTATGAACAAAACTAAATTTACCTAGAAGTATCTAGACATGTATAATTCCTGAATTTGTCTATAAGATAGATAATAAGTAGTTATTTATTATGGATATTTTATTAGCTATCCTACAACAGGGAAGATTTTATTTCCCAACTCCCATCTATAATATACCCAAGGGAAATGGGTACTTTTATTTGAGATAGCATTTCTTTTGTATGCATTATTGTGAGAAAAGCAGCAGAGACATAACTGTCTAAAACTGGCTGACTGATTTAATAGCTTAAAACATTTAGAAGCTGTGCGCAGTGACTCATGCCTGTAATTCCAGCACTTTGGGAGGCTGAGGCAGGTGGATCGCCTGAGCTCAGGAGTTCAGGACCAGCCTGGCCAACATGGCAAAACCCCGTCTCTACTAAAAATACAAACAATTAAATTAGCCCAGCATGCTGGCACACACCTGTAGTCTCAGCTACTCGGGAGGCTAAGGCAGATAATCACTTGAGCCCCGAAGGCGGAGGTTGCAGTAAGCCGAGACTGTGCCACTGTACTACGGCCTAGATGACAGAGAGAGACTCTGTCTCAAAAAAAAAAAAAAAAAAAAAGTTTAGAGTTGAAAGTTATTCATGTTTTTTAAGGGGAAAAAAATAAATGCAGATTAAATTCAATCGTGAAGAGAAACAGTAACACAAAAATCAAGGTTAGAGCTACTATGTAGAAAAGCAAGATGAAAAAGATTATTTGATATATAATACAAATACATTAAAAAACTTATCTAGATACTGTACTATAGAGACTATCAAAAACTAATTTACCTTTTAAAACTTAAAATTCTCAATCCTCATTAATTTTTAAAAAATTTATTAACACTTGACTCCAAGACTTACTATAAAGCTACAGTAATCAAGATAGTGTGGTAATGGTGAAAGAATGATGAATACATCAATGAAACAGAATAGAGAGCCCAGAAATAGACTGACACAAATATATTCAACTGATATTTGACAAAGGAGCAAAGGCAATTCAATGGAGAAAGGATAGTCCTTTGTGTATGATATTGTAATAGTGGATACATGACGTTATATATTTGTCAAAATCCATAGACCTGTACAAGACAAGAGTGAACCCTCCAGGGGTTTGAGACCAGCCTGGGCAGCATGGTGAAACTCATCTCAACAAAAAAATACAAAAATTAGCTGGGTGTGGTGGCACACACCTGTAGTCCTAGCTACTCAGGAGGCTAACGTGAGAGGATCACTTGAGCCTGGAGGCAGGGGTTGCCGTGAGTCGAGATCGTACCACTGCACTCCATCCTGACTAACAGAGCAACTCTATCTTAAACAAACAAAAAGCGTGAACCTAATGTAAACTATGAACTTTAGTTAATGATTATGTATCAATATTCACTCATCAATTGTAACAAAGGTACCATACAAATGCAAGATGTGAATAATAGGGAAAACTTGTGGGTGAGGGTGAGGAGGAATATATGGATATATTTCTTTTTTTTTTTTTTTTTTGAGACAGAGTCTCACTCTGTCACCCAGGCTGGAGTGCAGTGGCATGATATCGGCTCACTACAACCTCCACCTCCCAAGCTCAAGTGATTCTCCTGCCTCAGCCTCCCAAGTAGCTGGGATTATGGGTACCTGCCACCACACTTGGATAATTTTTGTATTTTTAGTACAGGTGGGGTTTCACCATGTTGGCCAAGCTGGTCTTGAACTACTGACCTCAAGTGATCCATCCACCCCAGACTCAAAAAATCCTGGGATTACAGGCCAATGTTTTTTTTTTTTTTTTTTTTTTTTTTTTTTAAGAGACAATATGTTCTGTTGTCCAGGCTGGTCTTGAAATCCTGGCCTCAAGTAATCCTCCCACCTTAGCCTTCCAGAGTGCTAGGATTATAAGCATGAGACACAGCACCCAGCCTATGTTTTTCTGTAAACCTAAAATTGCTCTAAAAATAAAGTTTATTAATAAACAAAATAAAATAAAAGCATCTTTAAGTGTAAAAAAAGTTTATTAAAATAATATTACAGATAAACAGTACATTTTCTTATTATTCAGGGGAAACATTAAAACCTTAAAAGCTCTCATTTCTTTGCAGTATTATTGTTTGTAAAGTAAACATTCCTCCAAATCATTTTCTAAGTCAATAATTCTTGGAGACTTTTCGATAGCATGGAGTTCAAAGTTCTGGAGCCTATTTGTGAAACTTTCTTGCTGTGTAGCCTTGGTCAAGTTACTTAACCTCTAATTCTATTTCCTGATTTATAAAGTGAGAATAATAAAGTACTACTTCATAGACTTGGTGTGTATAAGTGCATAGAGCAGCAGCCGGTACATGGTAGATGGTAAGCTCTCAAAAAATGTTAACCGTCAACTCTGCCAATTTAACTAAATTTTTAAATTGGAATTTTACTTATCACCAACTTTACCATCAGAAAGCCACAAATTCACTCTTATAGAATGTTCTCTAGTGCCAATTAAAAGATTATATCGTTAAAGTTACAAGATAATTACATCTTCCTATAGATAATACTCTTATGTATATTATGAATTTTATTAATCAAAGTTTAATATTATAAATCAATATACATGTATTGTTGTTGATTATATTAACTTTCAGTTAAAGGAGAAATACTTAAAGATTCCTTTATATAAATAATATACTTCTACCCTACTTGCTGTCTAGGTAAACAGACTCCCAACCTGGCTCACTTTGCCAAGCTTAGACCATTTTAAGATCCACACATTACTATCCCAGTGAAAGCATACGTGAGTTAATCTCTCTTGACTGCATTCTGGTCTCCTCACACCTCTTGTTCTGTGATCTATAGTTGGCTATGGCTTTTTGGCTTTCCCTCTGACCTTACAGTCTTTGGCTTAAATATGCCAAGTACATCTTCTCAGACTCCTTCTAAGTGATAACTGACTTTGCCTCATTCTCAGTGATTTTCTTTGTCCACCTTGGCATTTTGGCTTCAATATTTCCATAGATGGACTTTTAAAATTCAACTCAAATACGAAAAGCATTGAAGAATTTTTAACATATATAATATAAACAACTTCCTGGAAACCTTAATTTGTAAGTAAACCTCTAGCTTTTTGGCTTTTTGCTGCCCTCTCCTGGTCACAGTTTGTGGCTCTTGACCACTTCAGGCCCAGTGGTATCAAGCGCAAGGACAAGTTTTTTGCCTTCTAAACCCCAAAGAGTAGAGGCTCAAAACTGAAATTATGATTAAGTAATTCACACTTTCTTTTAACTTGAGTATTATACCAACTACCAATTTAAGAAAAATAAATGTTAGCATTTACAAACAATGCTACTATTTTCAAACTGTCCTAAATGCTATAATAATATATCATGGAGAAGTTCGACTTCTTATTTCTTAGAGATGAAAATGTGCTATATATATATTTTTTTATACATCTGTTAAGAAAAAGAAAAGTGCTTACCTCTGCAGACAGCCCAAGCATCTTCATCACATTTCTCACCACTTGTTCTCAATTCAAAAAAATTATATTCTTCAAGGCTAAGAAGACCATTTCCATCTAAATCAATTACTTCAAATATATCTGATAAAGTAGACCTAAAATTATAAAAATAGTTATTTCTGGTCACTAAGGCAACTACACTGAAGAAGGGTTCTATGAGGATAACATTCAAAGGGAATGTTATACAATTTCTTTAAACTAAAGTTAATGTATCCAAATACAGTTTTGGCTCAGTCCAGTATTACATGAGATAAAAAAGCTTCTAGAGCAACCGCAGTATCTCAATGCATAGTAAGAACTCAATGAATAGTAGTAGTTCCCTTCTTTTTTCCTTTCTCCAATCTACTTTCTTCTTCCTCTCTACCTATAGGGAGAAATTGGTAGATGTTTGACTGAAGTTGACTTGCCAAATGTGTGGAACCCAGAAGTAAATGACAATCCCAGATCTGCAAATGGAAGAACATTTTCAGATGCTTAGAGGATGAGTTGTTTTGTTTTGATATATGTATTTATGGTGTACAATGTGATTTTTTGATATATGTATACATTGTGGAATGACTAAATCAAGCTAATTAACATATCCATTATCTCACATATTTATCATCCTTTTTTCTAGTGGGAACATTTAATATCTATTCTCTTAGCAATTTTCAAGGATACAATATATAACTACAATCACCATATTGTCAGCAGATCTCCTGAACTTATTCCTCTTATCAAACTGAAATTTTGTATCCTTTCACCAACCTGTCCCCAACCCCCCCACCACTCCCAGCTGCTATAACCACTCTTCTACCCTCTGTTTCTATGGGTTTGACTTTGTAAGATCACACATATAAGCCTGGGTGTGGTGGCTCACACCTACAATACCAGCACTTTGAAAGGCTGAGGCAGGATGCTCGCTTGAGGTCAGGAGTTTGAGACCACCCTGGGCAACATAATAGCAAGACTCCCATCTCTTCAAAAAAAAATTAGCCAGGTATGCTGGCAATCACCTGTAATCCCAGCTACTGCTACTCAGGAGGCTGAGGTGGGAGGATCACCTGAGCCCCAGAGTCTGAGGCTGCAGTGAGCTATGATTGTGCCAGTGTACTCCAGCCTGGGTAACAGAGCAAAACTCTGTCTCTATTAAAAATAATAATAATAAAGTTCCCACATATAAGTGAGATCGTACAGTATTTATCCTTCTGTGCCTGGCTTATTTAACTCAGCAGAACATCCTCCAAGTTCATACAGCTTGTCACATGAGTTGAATTGGTGAATTAGAATCTGAGGACAGGGGTGGGAGCTGGCCAAAGGAAAGGGAGTAACAAAGGCTATTAATATCTATCCAGCCTAGATGTGATAATTCTAACATTAATAAACAAAACTTACTTAAATTCCTTTGTAAGGAATAATTTCCCTGTTTCATCTCTGTATACAAGTTGGGCTTCATCTGTTACTGGTTTTATTTTTTTCCTCAGCCTACAGCCGGTTGTGGAAGGAATTAACCAGTAAATTCCAGGTCCTAGTTCACCAGTCCATCCAAACACCTTTTCTCAAAACAATGAAACAAAACAATCATCAGTCTTAATCTTTTCATCTTTTAATTTAAAGCTTTTAATATTTCTTCTGAAAGGGACACATTAGAAATAATTTTTAAATCAATATTTACAAAATCTATTACAGTTCTATCAATCTTTTTACAGGTTTCTAATTCATTTTATTAATGGTAATCTCATTATGAGATCACTAGATATAGTAGTCCTTTATATATTTTTGAAACAAATGCCTAAAACTGTAACAGGTAAGTTATATTATCTTCTAAATCTTCCCCAATAATCTTCAAAAATATCTGTGATGCAAATACCCTCAACAGAAAGCAAAGATAAATCATAGGGTAATTTTTTAATGCGAACACTGAGCTCCTTTAAAAAAAAAGTAATAATATTCTAGATTATGGTTTCCTAATTTGATTCAAATATAAATATATGATTTCTAAATCAGATTTCAATGACATAAAAATTAAACATATTTTGAAATGGTTCACTATTGTATAAATTAACCAAATTTGTAAGAGTTCAATTATGTGGATGAAAGCACTGGAATTTTACTTTTTTAAATGTAATATGGACTATAAAAAAAGATGCAGAATCCCAAATAAATCAGCTTTATATGAAATTCTGTTTCCTATCAAATGTTGGATATTTATCATGAGTACCAGAACATCTGTATAGGAAAACATTTTATTCTCCAGTTCTATAAAAGAAAGCAGGCTGGGCATGGTGGTTCACACCTGTAATCCCAGCACTTTGGGAGGCTGAGGTGAGTGGATCATTTGATGTCAGGAGTTTGAGACCAGCCTGGGCAACATGGTGAAACCTCGCCTCTATTAAAAATACAAAAATTAGCCGGGCATGGTGGTGGGCGTCTATAATCCCAGCTACTTCGGAGGCTGAGGCAGGAGAATCACTTGACCCTGGAAGTGGAGGTTGCAGTGAGCCGAGATCGTGCCACTGTACTCGATAGTGCACGACTCTGTCTCAAAAAAAAAAAAAGAAAGAAAGCAAATGGTATCTGTCTATGTACTTCCTAAGAGCTTTTTGGAGCCTAAAGGTTTCCTATAAAAGCTAGCAGCTGTCTCTGTTAAATATATTAAATCTAAGGAATTCTTAGTTGTGTGTAATAGCTAAGTGCCCTTCAGCACAGACTAACCCAAGAGAATCCTTTCAGGTATTATGTCCAAAAATTCCTTTTAAAACCCAGGTATAAGGCTAGACACAGTGGCTCATACCTATCATCCCAGCACTTTGGGAAGCCAAGGTGGAAAGATTGCTTGAAGCTAGGAATTGGAGACCAGCCTGGACAACATAGCAAGATCCTATCTCTAAAAATAACAACAACAAGAATAATAATACTAATGCATCTGTAGTCCTAGCTACTTGAGATGCGAAGGCAGGAAGATCATTTTCACCCAGGAGTTCAAAGTTACAGGGAACTGTATCACTGCACTCCAGCCTGGGTGACAGAGTGAGACCCTACCTCTAAATAAATAAATAAACAAACAAAAAAACAACTTAGGTATATTTTAAGTCATTCTGAAGACTCATATACAAAATAAAGCTGCTCATCTAAATTCTGAGTTTAGTTCTATTTCTGCCCTGCCAACTCAGAGAAATCATAATCTTCTTATGTCCTATTTTGATACAAGAAGAAATCCAATATAACTGAAAGTCATTTTTAAGACTAAACGTTGGCCAGGGATGGTGGCTCAAGCCTATAATCCCAGCACTTTGGGAGGCCAAGGCAGGCGGATCATGAGGTCAGGAGATCGAGACCATCCTGGCCAACCGACATGGTGAAAACCCGTCTTTACTAAAAATACAAAAATTAGCTGGGCATGGTGGCACGTGCCTGTAGTCCCAGCTACTTGGGAGGCTGAGGCAGGAGAATCGCTTGAACCTGGGAGGCAGAGGTTGCAGTGAGCCAAGAATGCACCACTGCACTCTAGCCTGGCGACAGAGCGAGACTCCGTCTAAAAAAAAAAAAAAAAAAGACTAAATGCTTACCAAATCCATCCTTTGAAAAGCATAACCTTTGAAATTGACCAGATGTGGACTCAGGAGTGAAAAACCAGATCTCACTGCTTCCTAATATATATTATGCCACGATCCTTCCTTATGCCCACATATAACTTTGCATTGCCACTGTGGATGGCAAATGGAAAGTTTTTTCATGGGCACAAAACTCATCTATAAGAAAATAATTGTGAAAGTATAAATACAAATAAAAAATCATTTGTAAATATAACATATTACAGATAAACAGAAGCCTATAAAGAGGTAAATAGAAACTCATGCAAACTTTATTATAGTTTTGCTATATACTAATTTTTTTATACATGCAATCCCAAAAGAAAGTAATTTTACCCAAAACAAAGTGGAAATAGATATTGTTTTAGACAATGCTTACTTTGTAGTCAGTTCTGAAGAAGAGTTTATTCAAAACATTAACTTCAGCCAGTTTTATTTGTTTCTTGCCTATTCTTGTCTGTTAGGAAGCCTACAATAAAGACTTTTATATAACATTCTATCAGGGAAATGTCTGTCTGTCATTGAGCCTATATAAAGATTAAATATGATATTGCAGTAAGCCCTTGAATAGTATTATTTCTGTTGTTGTATAGCCGATGTATTCTGTAGCCCTCATAAAATAAATAGCCACATTTATGTATCGGCCTCACATATTTGGCCTTTGAGTAAATACATAATAAGAAAAGATCAGAAGAACCCCATGGGCAACATATAAAAACATTTAAAAGCATTTTTTCATATCAATCTATTTTTGAATCCTATAAAATAAGTCAAGCCTGATAGTAATCTTAAAGTTTTTCTGTTTTGCAGTAGTAATATAAGTAAGACAAACATCTACAGCAGCTTTTCCAAAGTCTTGAATTGCTTGCATTTAGGGAAAAAAATGTACTGGCATCAACCTTTTTTATTGAGTATATCAAATGTTCACACATGAGGCATCAGGGCGTTTAGAAAAGATGAAAGTAAGGTACAATATTACACAACTTAAAAGGTATAAGCCAAGACTCAAGACTGCCAACCAATCCTCAATTCTTTATTTAATTTTTTTTTTTTAGAGACAGGGTCTTGTTATGTTGCCCAGGCTGAAGTGCAATGGCTATTCACAGGCACAATCATAGAATAATATAGCTCTGAACTCCTGGGCTCAAGTAATCCTCTTGCTTCAGTTTCCCAAGTAGCAGGGATTTCAGGTGCATGCCACCATGCCCAGCTCCTATCTTTAATTCTTAAGAAATCACAGCAAACAAGAAAAAATTCTTTATAATTAAATTAAATATTTACTTTAACTAATTTAATTTAATTGGATGTGATTAAATTAAAAACATAATATCTATAGTGTTTAAGTGCTATTTATACCTTAATTGGAAGGTATAGAAAAGCTTAAAAAATAAAATATAGAAACATACTTTCCCCAAACTGCAGTTCATACTATATTTTAAAATTAAACATTAGAAAATAAATATGTATACCTCTCTATTTCGTAGTTCGGTAAAACACACAAGCTGTAGATTTGCTTGACTCTCATTTTCCTTGAGAATATACAAGGCAGTATCAACAGATAACCAAGGGGACGGTTTTCCTACAAACAAAAAAAAAAGCCCAAACACCTTAAAATAAGCAATCACTATCTATTCTTTCCTATATAAAAAAGAAGTTACTAGTTTCTTCTTGGATATTTTCTTTAGAAATACATATTCCTTTTTTTGTTTTTCAAGACAGAGTCTCACTTGGTCACCCAGGCTGGAGTGCAGTGGTGTGCTCGGCTCACTGCAACCTCCACCTCCAGAGTTCAAGCGATTCTCCTGCTTCAGCCTCCCAAGTAGCTGGGACTACAGGCGTGTGCCACCACACCCAGCATTTTTGTATTTTTAGTAGACACGGGGTTTCACCATGTTGGCCAGGATGGTCTTGATCTCCTGACCTCATGATCCACCTTCCTGGGCTTCCCAAAGTGTTGGGATTATAGGCGTGAGCCACCGCACCCAGCCCATATTCCATTTTTATATGCAAACATGATAGCTTTTGCAATAAGGCACAAACCTAAATACAGCGACCGAGTGAGAAACATTTTCTATATACTCACTTTCTAAAAATTATAACTTTTCTTGAACTCATCAAAAGCTGAGGTTGCAGGGCAACCAATTAGCCTGAAATCCAAGGAAAAACAGACTTTTCAGAAAGAAATAGGATTTCAGCACTGGCTTACTTGTGGTTGAGCACAGGAGGAAGAGATGTCAGACATCTATGTGCTGACAACCCCAAAATTTGTATCTTTAGGATCCTTCCTCTGAAGGTTAGACCCATATAACTAACTGTGTATTTAACATTTCTACCGGGATTTCTATTTCCAAAACTGAACTTCCTTAATCCCTTTTTAAAACGCTGTCCATCTCAGTTAATGGTAACTCATTCTTTCCAGTTGCTCAGGTCAAAAATCTTGGAATCTTCTTTAACTCTTTTCTTCTCTCACATACCAAGACCAATCCTTAGGAAATCCTATGGTTCGGCCTTCAAAATATACCCAGAATCTCTACTACCCCCTCTCCCACCTATATCCTGGTTCAAAGCATTCCCAGTCCTCTTCTAGAATTCTACAATAATGTCCCAGCTGGATTCCTTGCTTTCACCTGCATATCCTTCCATCTACTTTCAATACAGTAACCTAATCGCTCTTGTTAAAACATAAGTCAGATTATGTCCTGCCTTCTACTCAAAACTCTCTAATGGAGCAGAGAGTTGGGAGAATATTGCTCCTTTCCTAACAATAAGAAAAAGTTAATGAACTACAACATCATAACTTTTATTGATCCCATCAGAGCTGGGGTTGCAGGGCAACTATAAGCTTAAAATCCAAGGAAAGACAGATCTTTCCCAGGAGAGATGAGATGCAAACACTGGCTGACCTGTGGTGGAGCAGAGAAGGAAGAGATGTCAGGTACCACACAAGTGGAAGAAGAAGAAAGAGGGCAGAAGAAATATTTGAAGAAATAAGGCAGAGGATTTTCTAAAAATAATGAAAGGCAACAAGCCACAAATCCAAGAAGCTCAGAGAACCCCAAGCAGGATAAATACCAAAAAAACAAAAAACCCAGGCAATAGCATCAACAACAAAAACTACCTAGACACACATTCAAACTGCTGAAAATGAAAGATTAAGAGAAAATCTTGACCTTATATATGAGGAAAAACATCTCACAAAAAATGAGGGGGAAAACCTCATTTCTCTGATTAAAAGCCCAAGTCCTAATTATGGCAAAAAGAAACCTCTTCCTGATTTTGTCCTTGTTTCTCCCCAGTTTCATCTCCTACAACTCTCTCCTCACTTATTTCATTTGAAACACTCTAGCCTCTGTTCTAACACCAGTACACTCTCACAGAGCCTCTGCACAGAGCGTTCTCTCTACCTGGAATGCTCTGCAACCTCCTCCATCTTCACCCATCCCTTCCAGCACCATATACCCACAAGGCTTACTCCCTTGCCTTCTGTGGAAGAGAGCAAAAATGGCTGTTCCCCCCAGTATCCACAGCCCTTTGCAATGTGGCTTCGCAGCTTTTCCATCAAGAGATCAAGTCTATTTCCCCAGCCTATGAATCTGGACTTGCCTTGTGACTTTCTGTGAGCAACAGAATATAACGAAGTAACATTGTGCTGCTTCTGAGCCCAGACCTCAGGAGGTTCTATTGTGCTTCCGCTTTTGTTTTGTTTTGTTTTGTTTTCAGATCCCTGTTATACCAAGAGAACAGGTCCAGGCTAGTTTACTGAAGGATTATTAAAGATCATATGAAGCCGAGTCAAGTTATCCCAGCTGGGACTTCATACATGAGAGAGAACCCAGCCAAGATTAGCAAAGCCAGCCACCAGCTAACCTGTAGCTAACCATAACTGTGTGAGCAAGCCCTATAGAGAAAAAACAAGCCTGGCTCAGACTAAGAACTAACAGATCCACTGATTCATGAATGAACAAATGTTTAATTGTTTTAAGCCACTGAGTTCTGGGGTAGTTTTTTATGTAGCAGTTGGTAACTCATACATCTCTTTCAAAGTCTTTATCCATATAACAGCTTCCTAATGAAGCATATACTAACCACTCCATCTCCATGGCAACCCACATTCCCTCAGCATTCACTATCCCCTTTTCCCTCTGATTTTCCCATAACACTTATCACTTTCCTACATACCACGTCATTTACTATTTATCATGTTTATTATGTATTGTTTCCCCCACTAAAATGAAAGTTGATGAGGGAAGGGATTTTTGTCTTTTTTGAACCCTAATGTATCCTAAACACCTAAATTGATGTCCAGTATATAATGCCCTTGATAGCTATTTGATAAATAAATGAATGAATCTTATTAATAAGAATACAGAGAATTAACAACTACACTGAATTTACAGGGCTATCTTGATTCCTCTCTCTGAAAAATAACTATTGTTATTGTCATTTAAAAGTATCATCTGCCAAATATTATACATATCCCACAAGAGATGCAGTGAAAACTTTCAAAATCTCTACTTTAGGAGGGAAAAAGAATGGGGAGGGGAATCCTCTAGGAAGAAAATGCTTGTATGTAAACATTATAAAAGAAAAATAAATATTGATTTAGAACAACCAACATTAAAAAAGGTATCTAGGGAAATCACCCTTATAGATAGATAGCTTTCATTGCTTAAAAATTACATAACCATTTTAGACACTAGAAAAGTGTTAATTTTTACCTAGAATATTACCATGAATAAAAAGATTATTAATAAATATTGTCTAAGTCACAAAGGATTTTGAAGGTATTAAAAATACTTGCAGTTCCATATGTTCCAAATTATGCCCTTGCAGAACTTCTCTTTGACATATTAATTTTAAAAACTGACAAATGGAAAAAGCTAAGATTAATTAGCAAATAAAAACTTAGTTCTGGCTGAGCACAGTGGCTTGAACCTGTAATCTCAGACCTTTGAGAGGCCGAGGCGGGTGGATCACCTGAGGTCAGGAGTTTGAGACCAGATTGGCCAACATGGTGAAATCCCGTCTCTACTAAAAATACAAAAAGATTAGGCGGGCGAGGTGATGTGCACCTGTAGTCCCAGCTACTCAGGGAGGCAGAGGCAGGAGAATCACTTGAATCCAGGAGGCAGAGGTTGCAGTGAGCCAAGATTGAGCCACTGCACTCCAGCCTGGGCAACAGAGGGAGACTCTGTCTCAAAAAAAAAAAAAAAAAAGTTAGTTCTATATCATGAGGAAACCAGTTAACATTTTTTTTTTTCGTTTATTTTCTTCTATCTTAGCTGTAGAAAGGTTTGGAAAAAGTTATTGTTTTTAATAAAACATGCTTTAAACATATACACAAAGCAATCTACTTGCTTTTCATATGATTAACACAGGCCATGTATAGGCCAACACTTTCTTGAAATGTAACCATTATATTTCTCACTTAGGCAGATTATTTTCTTTCCTAACTAGGACTATGGAATACTTACATAAGTACTTTCAAAGAGGGTACAACTTGACATTTAAAAAATATACAAAAAATTTAAACTTGCCTTCAACTTGACTCAGATTTAATGGCTTAATTGTTAGATAAACCATGGACCTCTGAGCTATTTGCATCCTGTACTGATGACTAATGATTTCACCATCTTCTTCTAAGAAGAAGCAACCTTTTGATTGCATGTATTGCCAGTCCTGAAATGAAGGAAAAAATTATTTCAAACAATATTTATTAAATGTTTCCAGTATGCATAGTAATGAGGAGAAAACGCAGGGGGATATAAAAGAAATGTCAAATATAATCATTGCTCTCCAGGAATGTGCAACATAGTTAGGAGGTAAAAAACAAACATAACAAAATCCAATTATAGGCAGGGCACGGTGGCTCACGCCTGTAATCCCAGCACTTTGGGAGGCCAAGGTGGGCGGATCGCCTGAGGTCAGGAGGTCGAGACCAGACGAACAACATGGAGAAACCCCGTCTCTACTAAAAATACAAAATTAGCCAGGCGTGGTGGCACATGCCTGTAACCCCAGCTACTCAGGAGGCTGAGGCAGGAGAATCACGTGAACCTGGGAGGCAGAGGTTGCAGTGAGCCGAGATTGCGCCATTGTACTCCAGCTTGGGCAACAAAAGCGAAACTCCATCTCAAAAAAATCCAATTATAATTGGCAGTAATATATGGTTAACACGAAAAGATAACTATACATGCAAAAGAATTTACTATTATTCAAGTTACTAAAATAGTGCCTAACACATTGGCCCAACAAATATTTACTGTCTAACTGATTGGGGCGGGGGGACTGATGTAAACTGAGTGTGCAACTGATGAACTATATTATGAAGAATAGATAGCATTTCAATAATGAAAAGTTAGGAAAAGACATAAGGTAAAGAAGGGTAAGAAAAATAAAATTGGCTGGGTGCAGTGGCTCACATCTGTAATCCCAGCACTTTGGGAGGCTGAGGTGGGCAGATCATGAGGTCAGGAGTTCAAGACCAGCCTGGCCAACATGGGGAGAAACGCTGTCTCTACTAAAAATACAAAATTTAGTTGGTCATGACACTGGGTGCATGTAATTCCAGCTACTCAGGAGGCTGAGGCAGGAGAATCACTTGAACCGGGGAGGCGGAGGTTGCAGTGAGCTGAGATCATGCCATTGCACTCCAGCATGGGCAACAGGACAAGACTCCGTTTCAAAAATAAATAAAAAGAAAAAGAAAAATGAAGTACTGAAGAAAAGTAATAAATAAATATATTGCTGTAATAGAGAGAGATTAGGAGCATGTTAAGAAGGAAGAATTAAGGATTGCTAAAATAAATATATTGAAAGAAAAAATGGGCCGGGCGCGGTGGCTCAAGCCTGTAATCCCAGCACTTTGGGAGGCCGAGATGGGTGGATCACGAGGTCAGGAGATCGAGACCATGCTGGCTAACACGGTGAAACCCCGTCTCTACTAAAAAATACAAAAAATTAGCCGGGCGAGGTGGCGGGCGCCTGTAGTCCCAGCTACTTGGGAGCCTGAGGCAGGAGAATGGCATGAACCCAGGAGGCGGAGCCTGCAGTGAACAGAGATCCGGCCACTGCACTCCAGCCTGGGCGACAAAGTGAGACTCCGTCTCAAAAAAAAAAAAAAAAAAAAAAAGAAAGAAAAAATGACTTTAAATGTAAAAGCAAAATAATTGTTTCAAGTGTAGATAACTAGAAGCATGCTGAATAAAATTTCACAGCTGGCCAGGTGCAGTGGCTCACACCTGTAATCCCAGCACTTTGGGAGGCCGAGGCAGGCGGATCATGAGGTCAGGAGTTCAAGACCAGCCTGGCCAACATGGTGAAACCCTGACTTTACTAAAATACAAAAATTAGCTGGGCATAGTGGCACGCACCTGTAGTCCCAGCTACTCAGGAGGCTGAGGCAGGAGAATTGCTTGAATCCAGGAGGCAGAGGTTGCAGTGAGCAGAGATCATGCCACTGCACTCCAGCCTGGATGACAGAGGGAGACTCTGTCTCAAAAAAAAAAAAAAAAAAAGGTTCACAACAGAACAATGCTGATGAATATAAAGTATCACTTTTGAGAAAGACTTTTCTATATTGGCTTTACCATTTCTTGGTCTAGCCAAATTCCTTCTTGTCTGAATTAATATATGGGATCTCATAACTAGAAATGAGTAAAACCTGGCCAGCCACAGCGGCTCACACCTGTAACCCCAACACTTTGGGAGGCCGAGGCGGGTGGATCACTGGAGGTCAGAAGTTCAAGACCAGACTGGCTAACATTGGCAAAACCCTGTCTCTACTAAAAATACAAAAATAGTCAGGCGTGGTAGTGCACACCTGTAATCCCAGCTACACTGAAGCTGAGGCAGAAGAATCACTTGAACCCGGGAGACTGAGCTTGCAGTGAGCCGAGATCGTGCCACTACACTCCATCCAGCCTGAGAGACAGAGCAAGACTCTGTCTCAAAAAAGAAAAGAATAAAACTTGAAAATGCTTGGACACAAAGTAGAAGATTCTTTACTGAAGTTACAAGAAATTGTGTCATTACCATAGCTATGTGCAAAAATGCTTTTCACTTTATTATTAGTAGGCTTGCCTGCCTGAAATGTAAGAAAGAATATTTAGATAATCAGTTCAAGGCTTTAATAATATTGATAACTACTGAAAAGGTGTATACTAGCTCTATAACAATAACATCATAAATGTTTTCTAATTCATTATAGAAAGATTTGTTATGGCACTGCAAAGGCAAAAATAATTTACATTGAGATTGGTTTCATGTTCATGCTCACATTTTTAAAAGAAGGCTAAATTATCCTAACATACTTACATCTCATTTTTCTATTTTATGTCATAATTATTTTCATATTTTATATTTTGATACATTTAAAATAACACATTTAAAAATTTAAAAATCTCTATAATTCTAACGCCCTACTTAGATTTTCATGTAATCCTTTCTAATACAGACCTTACGCAGAAACCTATTTTTTACATTTTAATAAACACCGCTTTATGTTCTGCTTTTAAAATTTAATTTCATATCCAAAATATTTTGCTGTTGAAAAACAATAAAGCTAGAGGACTCATACTTTCTGATTTCAAAACTTACTACAAAGATACAGTAATCAAAATGGTGTGGTACTAGCATGAAAACAGACATATAGAACAGTAGAATAGAATGGATAGCCTAGAAATAAATCCTTGCATATATAGTCAAATGATTTTCAACAACGGTGCCAAGATCATTCAATGAGGGCAAGGACAGTCTTTTCAACAAATGAGGCTGAGGAAACTGAATATCCATCTGCAAAAGAATAAATTTGGGCTCTTATCTTACGCAATACATAAAAATTAACTCAAAATAAACTGAAGACCTAAACATGCTAAAATTATAAAACTCTGAGAAGAAAACATACGGGGAAAGCTGACGCTGGATCTGGCAATGGTTTCTTGGATATGACAACAAAAGCACAAGCAACAATCAAATTGGAATTCATCAAAATTAAAAACTTTTGTGCATCAAAGGACACTACCAACAGAATGAAAAGGCAATTCATGAAATGAGAGAAATTATTTGCAAATCACATATCCAAAAAGGGATTAATATCTAGAGCATATAAAGAACTCCTACAATTCAACAACAACAAAACAAACCACCAGATTTTTTAAATGGGCAAAGGAATCATCAAATGATCAACTCTGTAAAGAAGATATTTAGAAGGCCAATAAGCAAATGAAGAGATGCTCAACATCACTAATCATTAAGGAAAGACAAATCATAACTTCAATGAGATACCACCTCACACCCATTGGGATACCTATTATCAAAAAAACAGAAAATGACAAGTGTTGGTGAGTATGTGGAGAAATTGGAACCCTTGTGCATTGTTGATAGGAACATAAAATGCATAAAATGGTGAAGCCATTGTGAACAATATGGCAATTTCTCAAAAAAGCAAACCTATAATTCTATATGATCTAGCAATTCCAACTTCTGGGTATAGACCCAAAAGAATTTAAAGCAGGGACTCAAACAGATATGTATGCCAATGTTCACAGCATTACTGCTCACAATAGCCAAAAGGTAGAAACAACCCAAATGCCAATTGACAGAAAAATAAACAAAATGTGGTAAATACATACAAGGGAATATTATTCAGTCTTAAAAAGGAATAAAATTCTGGCACATGCTATACATGAATGAGTCTTGAAGAAATTATGCTAAGTGAAATAAGCCAGACACAAAAGAGCAAATATTGTATGATTCCACTTATATGAGGTACCTAGAGTGGTCAAATATTGTATGATTCCACTTATATGAGGTACCTAGAGTGGTCAAATTCAGAGAGACAGAAAGTAAAATGGTGGTTGCCAGGGGCTGTGGGGAGGGGGAAATGGGGAGTTGTTGTTTAATGAATAGAGTTCCAGATGAAAAAGTTCTGGAGATGTATGGTGGTGGTAGTGATGGTTGTACAACAGTGTGAATGTACTTAGTGACACAGAACTGTACACTTAAAAATGAGCAAAATGGTACCTTTTATGTTTTGTGTATTTTACCACAAGAAAAACCATTTTGCTATGTAATATTCAAAATTTCAATTTAAATGGTTCTATGATTAAAAATAGAGTTGGGGCCGGTCATGGTGGCTCACTCCTGGAATCCCAGCACTTTGGGAGGCCAAGGTGGGTGGATTACCTGAGGTCAGGAGTTCGAGACCAGCCTGGCCAACATGGTGAAACCCCATCTCTACTAAAAATACAAAAATTAGCCGGGTGTGGTGATGGGCGCCTGAAATCCCAGCCTCAGGAGGCTGGGGCAGGAAAATTGCTTGAAACTGGGAGGCGGAGGTTGCAGTGAGCTGAGATCGTGCCACTGCAATCCAGCCTGGGTAACAGGGCAAAACTCCATTTCAAAAAAAAAAAAAAAAAAAAACATTGAGTTGGTATACCATTACTTAGTTAACTATTTCTAAAGTGTTAGACATTTAGGTCACTTCTAATTTCTTATCACAATATTAATAGAATACTTTTTTGTCTAAATGTTTTTCTTCTGATGAATAATTTCCTTGAGAAGAACTTTCAGGCAAAAAAGTATGTATATTTTTAAGGCTATTGACATGTGTTCCCATACTGCTTTATAAAACAGTACTGCCAATTTTACAATACCACCAATGGTATATAATGTAATAATTTTACCATTATTTGGTATTGTTTTATTGTGAAAAAAATTGGGTGATGTGGGATGACTTCATAAGCAAGGTGTGGGTACATAAAGTATTCATTATGGTATTCCATATATTTGTATATGTCTCGAGTATTTGATAGTAAAAATGGTATTGTAATAACTTTTGCATTAATTTCAATTTATCTGATTGTTAATACCAAGGTTGAACGTTTCCCTCATGTGTTCATTATTTTTGTTTTCTTTTGTATAAATTACGCATTCACTTATTCTCATAACTCTATTGTAGACTTAGCATTTTTCTGACATATTTTAATAAATTATTTTGACTATTTTAGATATTAACCACTCTGTGAGTGTTAATGAATGTATTTTCTCTATTCCTTTTATTTTCATTTTGGTTATTTCTCAATTTATACAAGTTTTCTATTTTATCTTTATCTTTTCTTTGGAAATTTCCTTTTCAACTGCATTTTAAGATTTTATCATTATAAACTGAACTATACTCAAGCTTTCAGTCAGTCACTAATCAGCTGCACTGTCACACCTTCGGGGTATACAAGATATGTGTATTTTTAATTCTAAGAAATTAAGATGTGACCTTAACTTACTGAAATTTATCTTGTTAAGTATATTGCCCATGACAGAAACAAGTCATTATATATGATATTTCAACAACATCCCTATGAGGCAGTATGGGGTAGATATGAATTAGTCATTTTAATAAACAGAAAAATTGAGGTAGCCAGAAGTTATATGGGTTCAGAGTTTTATAAGGAGTTTGTAGTAATATTAGGTCTAGAGTCCAAGACTTTTGGACTCTGCATTTAGACTATGTTTCTAAAAGAGAATCTACTCAGGGTACCAAATTCAAATTTTTTATTATCTGTGATACACTGAGGTTCAAACTTGGGCTTGTGGCAGAAGCAGAAGTTGAAGTTCAACCTTTTTTCTTTTTGAGATGGTCTTGCTCTGTAACCCAGGCTGGAGTGCAGTGGTGCCATCTCGGCCCACTGCCACCTCCACTTCCCAGGTTTAAGCAATTCTCCTGCCTCAGCCTCCCGAGTAGCTGGGATTACAGGGGCCTGCCACCACGCCCAGCTAATTTTTTGTATTTTTACTAGAGACGAGGTTTCACTATGTTGGCCAGGCTGGTCTCGAACTCCTGACCTCAAGTGATCCGCCCACCTCGACCTCCCAAAGTGCTGAGATTACAGGCTTGAACCACTGCGCCTGGCCCAAATTCAACTATTAACGATGAGTAATGTTACACAGGCTTTCATTTAGCTTCCCTGTAAATCTCTTGGATGGGCATATATATGGACTAAACAGATGCTGGCATTACCTCAGACCCAACTGTCCTTAAAATAATCAACATGACCTTGGATGGTGATGACTGCTAAAGAATAGAAATGAAAGAAATGCTATACAGTATTTAGACAATTTACATGTTGAGACAGTTTGAATTATGAGTCTGATATTAAATAGAAAACATTTAAATGTTTTCAATCAGTTTTGATTATAGCATCAGATGGAATTTCACCTAATATACTTTATATTTTTTATATTTACCTATTTGGAAAGGTAAAGGATAATACTTTAGAATTACAGACTCTTAAAGGTAGAAGAAATCTAAAAAGCAATCTAGTCCAGACTTCTCTTTTGATAAAGTTTGAAAAATAAAGTGATATATGTGTAAAGCTATAGTTCTCAGTTGACTGCAGAACTAGAACCAAAACATAGGTCTCCTTACTTTCTCTCCAGTGTGTAAGTTACATTCTAAGTTCTGTTCTATTTCACATTTAAATATCTGCAGTGATTTTTAAAGCCAGTTTTTAAAAGAAACTTTGTGAATATGATACTATTACAATAAAGTATGGTAAGGCATTATCATTCAGGATTGCACACATTTAAGTATTAAGACAAACTTAATTATTTGGTTTTCTTACTTTAAAAATGTAGCATTTAGTAGCAGGAAAATTTCTTAAATTTGTATTGTAATCATCAGCACAGCAGCCCTACCCCCAGCTTTAAAAAAAATGGTTAAATTAAGCTTTTAAAAATAATGTACTTTACCTGGTACACTGGTAGTAAACACCATTTGTGCCATTTAGGAAACTCAAAGATGGAAGAATTTTTCGATGTGCTGATGCTACCTCTGGGGCAGTGCCACAGATTAACAGGACATGGCTTTATAAAATTTAACAGGGGAACAAGTTAAACATTTTTATTCTAAGTCTTTCCTAAGTTCCATGTCTAGAAAATAATGCTATAATAGAAGAGAATTTGTGAGTTTCTTTGGAAAGGCAGACAAACTACATAGTATAACATTAAATATGGATTAATAAAGCTGGAAAATGGTAGAACAACAGTTATTAAAGACAAATACCACATTATTTATATCAACCAAACTTCAGTGTAATAAACAGATCAGTTTGAATTCAAAATAACTCCACTAGAACTTATAGCTCCTACTGTTCAACAGGAAACATTCAACTTAAGATCTGTCAGAGTTATTAAACATACAATGCTTATTCAACTTAAAGTTTCATTTCAAGGCTGGGTGCGGTGGTTCATGCCTATAATCCCAGCACTTTGGGAGGCCGAGGTGGGCAGATCACGAGGTCAAGAGTTCCAGACCAGTTGGCCAGAGTTCGAGATCAGTTGGCCAATATGGTGAAACTCTGTCTCTACTAAAACTACAAAAATTAGCCAGGCATCGTGGTGCACACCTGTAGTCCCAGCTACTTGGGAGGCTGAGGCAGGAGAATCGCTTGAACCTGGGAGGCGGAGGTTGCAGTGAGCCGAGATGGTGCCACTGCACTCCAGTCTGGGCAACAGAGTAAGACTCTGCCTCAAAAAAAAAAAAAAGAAAAAAGAAAAAAAATGTCTTTCAAACAAATAGACTTTCAATCATACAAAGGTTTTTCTCTAGGACCTAGACTAAAATGTTACAAACTAAAAGAAAAAATTACTGACAAACTGGCTGGCTCATTCAAATAAATCAATTTGAAAGGATTATAGATTAAGCTGACAGTTTGAGTATTAGGAGAAAAATGAAAGAAGGTTGAGTTTTGAAAATAATTTTAGAATGAGAGTTAGAAATTCCATGTATGACATAGTTTTTTGACATTATAAAGCAGAAATAAAATAATAGCTTGTAATTCTTATATAGGGCATGAGGTGGTGCTGTATTCTACCAATTTGGGTACATTCATATAAGTGCAAACTGAACTGTTATTTCGTTTATTTGTCATATACAAATTTTACTTATTTTCATTCATAATGTATGAGGAAACGCTTAAAAGTACAAAACCAAATACTAAAGCCAAAAATTCTAGTTATCAAAACAAATATATCAGTATAGTTACGTTTTTCTTGGAACACTGTAGTGAATGAAAATGATTTAACATACAAATTCTGTATTATTAAATTTTTCAGTGAGAAAGAATTATTAAGCAGTAGATCTGCCATAGATTTAGTCAGAGGAGGAACTCATCACTATCATTATCATCACTATTGTTTTTTATAAAGATTTCCTATATCACATACTTATTAGGAGGCTATTTGCTTTCGGGTATGATAAGACAGGAAGGTAACCGGTTGTTACATTTTTTGTTAATAATTGTAAACTATACATACTTAAAAAGTAAAAACTTAAATAGATAATTTATGAAAGGTAAAATTGATGTGGCCTGAAACCTAACTGACAGGTTGAATTGATCAACATTTTGAAAATGTGAGAAACTTATAAGAAAATTATTATATGGAGCTTTCACAAAAATTAACAGATAATGAACCATTTGGAATTTAAAATGTTTATATTTGTATTGCCATATATAGACATACATATAACATATAAATGGCATATAATATAGATGCTATATGTTTTGACATTATAATATATAGGTTGTACAACATATGTGTGTGATGTGTGTGCATATGCTGTACAATATACATGTATAAAATATAAATGTAGGCACACTCTAAGAATCTGAATATAGGAAGTATTGCATCTCTGGAGTTTACAACTAATAGTTTGGGGCTTACTCTAATTCTAGACATGACTGGTCTTAGCAAGGAAAGTGAAGCTATTCCTCTCTGAAAGGAAAATTCCTGACATTCCTTGATCATCACAGAATCTAAGTAAATGGATAGAACTCAGAATTTTAAAAAGAATAGTAATATAGTAACTAAGTATGGCCAATAGAAAGTAATATATGTATAGTACCTGTAAGGATCTTATTTTCCTTTTGTAATTCAAGTCCTTTACCAATTGTGTGGATTTATGGTTTAAAACATGGCTTACTCTTACCTATCACAATTTTCTAATTTCTGAAAAGTCCCTCCTTCTCTGTCCCAATTCCATACTTTTCTGTTCCACATGAAGTTGAGATACCTAAACTTGTTTAAAATAAATGTAAAGTATCTGGAAAATTAATTTAACAATCCTTTCAGTAATTTATTCTGTATATTCACAACCAAGTACTTTTCAGAATGGTTATAAAACCTCAGGAATATATGAAATTTGTGAAATAAAAAAGAAAAAACTTCAAGTATTACAGTTCTTTTAGAATTTGTCTAGCAGGTTCTCTGTTTTTACCAGAAAACCCCCCAAGAGGAAACAAGAATTAAAGAAAAAATGTGGCCAGGTGTGGTGGCTCACATCTGTAATCCCAGCACTTTGGGGGGCCAAGGTGGCAGATCACTTGAGGTCAGGAGCTCGAGACCAGTCTGGCCAACATGGTGAAACCTCGTCTCTACTAAAAACACAAAAATTAGCCAGGCACGGTGGCATGCACCTGTAATCCCAGTTACTTGGGTGGCTGAGGGAGGAGAATCACTCGAACCTGGGAGGCGGAGGTTGCAGTGAGCCAAGATCCCGCCTGCATTCCAGCCTGGGTGACAAAATGAAACTCTGTCTTAAAAAATGCATAAATAAACAAAGAAAAGAAAAGAAAAATGTAAACAAAGAACTGAATGCTGCTGAGTAACAAAAGGGTCACTTACTTTAAAAAATAATAATTTCAGCTCATCTAAGAAATAGCAGATAGTAAGCAATAGTGGGCAATACAAGATCAGAAACAGGATATTAAAAGGTAAGATATACACAGCTATCAATTATTTCCAAAAGGCATTACATTTTATATGAAACTCGCAGAATTAAAAAGTTGACAGTATGCCCTTTTCATCATTAAATTATCTTAGTACCTTTTACCTCACTCCCAATTATCATCCACACCATTCCCTGTTCTTGACTTTGATACAAAACTTAAGTAGTCTCTTTGCTAAATAATCATTATGACTTACAGACTAATTTTGGCATTTTTCTGTTACACCTGCCCCAACCTTATTACATTTAGGTACTATCCTAGGCCAAGTTATCATCAGTTTATATTTGGAAAACTCTATCAGCCTCTTAGATGGTGTCTCTGACGTCTCTATACATAATACAACAGTAGATTAACTTTTCTTAAACTATACTTTCATCATGTCATTCCCATACAAGCACCCAGTTATTTCTTAGTTCTATAATATTAATACTAGTATTTATTAATGTTCTTTATAATAAATAGTATTAACATTAACACTATTATTTATTAATGTCCTTGGCATTGTGCTAAATGCCATATGTTTACATATGATTTAAATCTTTCCAAAGCACACTAAATATAATTATTCCCTATTTATGGATAAGAAAACTGAAACTCTGAAGGGCTGCTGACTAATTCGCCCAAGGTCAGTTATGAAGTGATAAAGCTAAGATTCAAGCCCAGGTAGATCTCTATCCAAAACTCTATATCACTAATCTCATCAACATCTAGAACACTGGCACAGAGTAGTCACTCAATAAGTATTTGTTGAATAAATGAATGAATAAATACTATGCTACACTATCTTGGTATACTCTTAATAGTCAAATGAAAATTTATATTTTAAAATTCAAGCTCATATTTTACACTAAGCAAAATAACTGGCACACATTACATGCTTAGTGAATATGTGTTGAACTAAATTTTTAAAATTATATTGGTATGAGCCCAACTAATGACACAGAGACAAAGTCTTACTATAACTTAACATAATCCACATTAATATTTATTTATATCTCTCTTTAGAGTGGCTAAAATTACATTTATTTGTGCTTCTGAATCAGGTAAACCATAATTATGTAACTAAGTTAATTTTATTAATAATTAATTTAGTTGCAAAATACAAAAAGTTTCCACTGGTGGAAAATAATATTGTTGGAACACTAAATATTGTGTATGAACATGTTGGACATGCACACCAAATTGCTTAGGGTGTATAGATTCCTAAACAGTCTGAACAAAATTCCCTGGAGATAATGTTTTAAAATTTTAATATAGAACAAATGTCACTGTCTAGCAATTTAAAGATATAAGGGACTTTAGAGTTCAATAACAAATACAGAGTTGTTATTTGAAACAAAAATGTGGCTCTTGAGAACAATCAGTTCAGTTTTCTAACAGCAGTTACAGTATGTGGTCATAACCATTTTTTCCCCTTTTACAGAGGTCTCTAGGTGCACATTTTTAATGTATCCTAGCAGTTTCCAGTTAATGTTTTATATTTCTGTAGCTATTATTTTCTGTTGAAGGAAAACTAGTAAAGGTTGAGTCTAGAAAGGGAAAAACAAAGAAAGAAGATCAATATTAACACTCTACAAATATTGACTTAGCAAAGTGACTTTGTTGTCATTCTCTCATAGGACTTGAAATTGAATGAATGATTTATTTATAAGAAACACCTATGGTAAATATTTGTTAAACAAAACAAAAAATTTGCTTGCCAAAGTATATAACTTGATAATCTACTCATCAAGTTATAAAACTTGAGTGTTACCATTTTCAAACTGAAGAGCTTATAATAATATTCATCATTTTTAATTTAAAAGTATTATACTAGCTTACAGGTAAAAATTCCACAGAAAAACCTCGAATTACTTCATAAACTTTACTGGTTCCCTGTAGACACTGCATTGTTATTAATAAACTTAATGTCAAATTTTTTTCAGAAAAAGTCATCTCTGTTAACTTAAAATACTATACCTTTATTAAATTTGGCTCCGTTAACTTTGAGTTTTGGTTACCATTAGCCCCCATGGTAATTGTGAAGGAAACAGATGTTTTGAACTTCCTGGTTGCTGACAGTAAAGAACTCCTGGTGTCACCTGCAACAAGTAATGATTATTTGGTCTCACATTATGAAAAGTTGTCAATAGTTTTTTTCCAAACACAATGCAGTATAAAAGATCTATTGTATTACTTTGACTCTCTTTGTTCTCCCCATTGAAATAAAGTCAGAAGTTTTATATTTATCAGGCTTTAATGGTCCCTAATTTATGGGCTACTAATAAGAATTCTTATTTGAATATGTCACCTTTCAGTCTGAAATTTTAGTTTTAATAAAATATAATGAGCATAGCTAAGTCAAGTTCCATAATAAAATTTTACTTCAATAGATTTTTACAGCTAAGAGAGTCTAGAAATGGTAGCTAACAAAAGTTAAGATTCTCATTTGTTTTATCACTGAGAAGCTGAAATGGAAGGAAAAATTTATCTGAATATGACTCTTCATTTCTGATCAAGAAGTTCTTAGTGTTAAAAGTAAATACCTTTATTTGAGAATGTTTCCTGATCTGTTTTTCTTATGATTTTAGGTGATGGTTTTGGTACTGGTGATGGGTCCCTTTCAGGGGACCCTTCGATGTGGTTTCCAAACTGGTGACGCCTCATTTTACTATCAACCTCTAGTTTTTCTAGTGTAGTCTTGAGACATTGCTCATTGGTTGTCATATATAATTTACAAAACTATAGGGAAAAAAAAAGTCCAGTGGGTAAAACTATTCAATCATACATTGGGGAAGAGGAGAAAGCAAATGCACATTAGTAGGCAACGAATAGACTGATAGATGGAATATATTTCCTACTGATGGTTACACATTTTATTTTTTTGAATCAGATTGACCAGCCTCAAGTGACCTAGTGAAATGTAGCCGTGATTCAATGAGGAGGTCATACTCTGAGTGAAAATAAAATGTTACACAAGGAGAGGTGATTTATTATTACTTTTTTTAATAAGACGTGTAGACTTGCATTTCTTCAAAATAATTTTTATGATTCTTCTACCCCAGAAAAGGTACATTTCTGAGTAGAGTCTCTATGTTTATGTGTGTATCTGTCTGTGTGTGTGAGCACACATGTTTTTTAACTTGGTTATATTATTTTTAATGTAGTCATCAGATTGCAATTGTGGGACTGGAAAAATTAAATTTCATGCACAATATTTAAGGATGTCATTGCCAATATTAAAAAGATGCATCCCTTTAAAAATAATTTTCTGACATGTTAATTAGTTGACATATTAACTGATTTAATTGCTTCACAATGTATACATATATCAAAACATTACATGTACACTGTAAATATATACAATTTTTATTTGCCAATTATACCTTAATAAAGCTGGGGAAAAATAAAAACACTTTTCCAACACAGTATGTACATTTACATCAATGTGAGATTATGTACCTTGATGTAGTCAAATTTGCCATCAGCATTTACATCTGTCAAATTTATTATGGCATTTACTTCTTCTCGAGTCATCTTCTCACCTCTCTGAAAAAAAAAAAAAAAACGAGATTTATTTTGAAGCAACATGATTACTACTTTGTTATTCACAGGGTTAGTGGAAGCACATTTTAATCTTTTCCATAGTTTTAAGGTATTGCTTCATTATAAATTATGAGTATTACATATATAAAGAAAGAATGAGGCAGCTATATAAATTTCACAATTTTATTAAATTTTGTGGAAGTGTGCTGAATTTCAGTTTACTAAATAGTAACTAAAACCTGAATACTATAGAGTCAGTTATAACTGCTATTGAATTTAGGGGAATGATATTTTCTAACATTGTACCAAAAAGGAGAATGGATTCCTAATCCCATTTATACTTGGTTTTCCTTTTACTTATCACATATGGAACTATCACTGATTTTCAAAGAGTTCTGGACAGGAACGAATTAAATAGGAGCACAAGGGGGTGGTAACATAAGCTCAATTTTATACTTTATCTTTTATTTACAAAGAACCTTTCATCCAGAAGGATCCCTAAGTACTTTGTAAATAACATGTAAGTAATTCATTTCACCTCTCAATGAAATAGTTATTTTTAATGTAGACTTTGGTAGTCAAAGCTAGATTCCAAGTTCTTTCACAAAATATGAATATTACAAAACAGTTTTACTGATCTTACCTTCGTTAGAAATTCATAAAGGTCAGTGTGTAAAATACAGCCATCATCATTTACATCTAATTGCTTAAATGATTTTAGTAGTTCTGCTTTTGAAGTAGGTTTTTCCTTCCTTAAAATTATACAAAAATCATCAAAATTCAGTTTGGCAGTTTGAGGAGTCCAATGCTTATTAATGGTCTTTTGGGATGGATTTCTTCCTGCATGCTGAAGAGCTGCCCAACAAAACAAGTATTATTTGTGATTATAACACTTGGAATTCGTACTTAAGTGCATTTTTTTCTTCAAATCACTATGTATTATGATATTTAAAAAACACTATACATATACCAGTACATTACCTTTGGTGTTGATTTATCTAGTGATACCAAGATAGGCCTGACTTTGAAAAACAAAAATATTGCCAGGCGCAGTGGCTCATGCCTGTAATCCCAGCACTTTGGGTGGCCGAGGCGGATGGATCACAAGGTCAGGAGTTCAAGACCAGACTGGCCAAGATAGAGAAACCCTGTCTCTACTAACAATACGAAAAAATTAACTGGGCACAGTGGCAGGCGCCTGTAATCCCAATTACTCAGGAGGCTGAGGCAGGAGAATCGCTTGAACTTGGGGGGCGGAGGGTGCGGTGAGCTGACATTGTGCCACTGTACTTCAGCCTGGGTGACAGAGTGGGACTCCATCTCCAAAAAAAAAAAAAAAAAAAAAAAGAAAAACAAAAATATGTATGCCACCACCTAAAGATTATTTAATTATTAACGCCAGAATTAAATAGATTTTCCTTATTCTGACAGTTTGGTTCTCAACCTACATGGTTTAAATAACTACCAATATCTGATTACTTAAGAGCTTCTAAAAGCTCTTCTAAAAGCTTCTAAAGGAAATACAAGATTAAAAACAATCATCCATCCACTTAATTGTTTGGGGGACAAAAGGATAACACAAAAAGTGTGAATTAGTACTTTTTCTGGCTAAATAAATACCTTAATGACTCTTCAGCCATAAATAAGAAGGAAATCCTGTCATTTGCAACAAGATGGATGAACCTGGAGGACAACATGTTAAGTGAAATAAACTAGACACTGAAGACAAATACAGCATATCTCACTTGTGTGGAATCTTAAAAAAAAAAGTTAATATCATAGAAGTAGAGAACAGACCAGTGGTTACTGGAGACTGGGAAGGGGAACTGTAAGTACTACCTAAGTACTCTGGGGGTAGGGGACGATGGGGAAAGGTAGGTCAGTGGGTACAAAGTTGCAATCAAGATAGTGGGAAATAGGTTCTGGTATTCTATTGCACAGTATGGTGACTATAGTTAGCATTAAGGTACTGTATATTACAAAATAGCCAGAAGATAGGCTTTCGAATGGTCTCACCACAAAGAAAAGATAAATGCATGCAGCGACGGATATACTAACTACCTTGATTTGATCATTATACAACATAGAAATGTATTGAAATGTCAAATTGTACCTCATAAATACATACAATGTGTAAATTTAAAAAACAAGTATCTTAATGAAATGAGAAAATCATTCATTTAAGAATATCAGTGTCAACAGGCATGATATCTAAAATGTTCATCATTGCTAGGTACTAAGCTTTCAAAAACAATCATGTTCCAAATGTCAAATACATGCACATAAAGTATCCCTTTGCAGTTATGGCCCTGCTAAAAATCAAGAATATCAATATACTGTAAGAGAAGATTATTATAGAGATGCTATGGTCAAACTACTCTTCATTTTTAACCACATCCTTCTATCTATGAAGAGCAAAGAAGTACATGTGAGAAGAGCTTTGTATATTTACGTATGTCATATCACACTAAAACACAATAGTTAAAGCAATTGCAGATATTTTGAACAGCTGAATAGAAGTAACTTGGTAATTTGCAAATACATCTCTGCATACTGAAATATAACATTTTCTAAAATGAACCAATGATAAATTTCCTAAGCACCACAGAAGGAATTAACATAATTTTAAAAGATACAATTGTCCTGAATTGTACTGCCAAATTCTATTAAAAATCTTATATTGGATAGTTCCAACTATCTTTATAGGAATTCACAAGATCTGTGTATCACCAATCAGCATCAAAAAACGATAATTTGGATATTCTACAATTTAATATAATAAGGACCAATAAGTATAAAACAATTTCACTAAAGAAATATCCTCATGGAGATAGAAACCAGATCAGGGTAACAAATACAGATATAAGTGAGTCAGTTATATTGAACATTATATTGAAAATTTCAAAAAAAGAAATTTTATTTTATTGTTATTTCTTTATTTTTTTTTTGAGATGGAGTTTTGCTCTTGTTGCCCAGGTTGGAGTACAATGGCGCAATCTCGGCTCACTGCAACCTCCGCCTCCCGGGTTCAAGCAATTGTCCTGCCTCAGCCTCCCAAGTAGCTGGGATTACAGGCATGCACCACCATGCCTGGCTAATTTTGTATTTTTAGTAGAGACATGGTTTCTCCATATTGGTCAGGCTGGTCTCAAACTCCCGACCTCAGATGATCCACACATCTCAGCCTGCCAAAGTGCTGGGATTACAGGCATGAGCCACCACACCTGGCAAGAAATTTTATAATCTAAATAGGAAGTCTACATCTGAGTGTAAAATTGCTATCTATGGCCATAACTTATGGGTAATAACATATTAAAAATCCATAAATAAAATTCTCTTCTCCTCTAGATTATGCCAGTGACTTTCAGAGCTAACAGAAATTGCAGTTGTGGTAACTGCCATCTTCCATACACCTATAAAGGCTTTGTGGAAATTCGTTGCATTGGAGATAATATAAATGTTTTTATTTCCACGGTTTTATTTTGGATGTCAACAAAAGTCCTGATTACCACACTGCCCTAGCAACAACATGTTAGTAAGTATTTTGCCTAGTGTGTAAATGAACTATTCCTTAATTCAGCTGTTCACAGAATCAAAGAAATGGCATATGTGTTTTAGGATTCCAACTCCGGCCAACTCCTACCCTTTAAAAGCTGGGAATACAAGTAGATGTAAATGAAGTTGTAATTTTTTTTGCCTCTAAAATATTTTTATTTTAAAAAGGCTTAGTGTGCAAAGATGCTCATCATATTGCTACACTACTGCTACTAATAATAAAGGAAACAATGTTCAAACAATCAAGGAGTAGTTAACTGAATCATGGTACATATACAGAATGCACTTACACAACTACTAAATTATTTTTATGACAATGAATATTATATAAAATTTTCTGCAAAATTTCTTCCTTATTGTTAAGCCTAAAGTGCCTTTTGTCTAAGGTTCTTTTTTTTAATCTTTAATTTTTGGAGGTACATACTAGGTATATAATATGAGATATTTTGATACAGGTATGCAATAATTACATCAGGGTAAATAGGGTATCCATTGCCTCAAGCATTAATCCTTTGTTTCAAACAATCCAATTATACTCTAATCATTTTAAAATGTACACTTAATTTTTTTTTTTTTTACTACTGTCACCCTGTTGTGCTAGCTAATACTAGGTCTTATTCTTTCTATTTTTCTATTTTCAATTTTCTCCCCTCACCCCCACTACCCTTCTCAGCCTCTGATAAACATCATTTTACTCTCTATCTCCATGAGTTCAATTGTTTTAATTTTTAGCTCCCATATATAAGAACATGTAATGTTTGCCTTTCCGTGCCAGGCTTATTTCACTTAACATGATGACCTCCAGTTCTATCCATGTTGCTGCAAATGACAGGATCTCATTCTTTTTTATGGCTGAATGGTACTCCACCATGTATATGTACCACTTTTTTTTTTTTTTAAATCCATTCATCTATTGATGAACTCTTATACTGCTTCCAAATTTGGGTATTGTGAATAGTGCTGCAGTAAACATGGGAGTGCAGATATCTCTTCAATATACTGATTTCCTTTTGGGTATATACCAAGTAGTAGAATTGCTAGATCCTATGGTAGCTGTATTTTTAGTTTTTTGAGAAACCTCCAAACTGTTCTCCACAGTGGTTGTAGTAATTTACATTCCTACCAACAGTGTATGAGGGTTCCCTTTTCTCCACATCCCTGCCAGCATCTGAAGTCCACATGAAAGAAAATTATATTTTCTGTTCAGTTTTGAGAAAAAAGGTGTGTAACTTTTTCTCACAAGTGGTAGCTTAGCATATGCTTGCTGCTATCTTTAGTAACAAAGAAAATACTGTTTTAAAAAATGTACTGGTAATTAGAAAAGAACAACTTTCTCAGAATAAAATTAATTATGCCAAAACATGTACTCAGTAAGCAGACATACCCATATCTAAGAAACTGATACAATCTATTTCCTACTAACTTTAATCTCTAGGTTTAGAATTAGTTGGATTTAATTATTAAGTTTGATGATAGTAAAAATATTAGGTAGCTGTAGATGTTTAAATTTTGACACCATGATATGGATCTTTTGTTAGGGTTTACTTTTAAAGTTCTGACATGAGTCTATAATGCCTGTATTATTTATAAATTGACAAAAAAGGAACTTAAAGCTATAGTAATGCTACTGCTCTATCCGACCTTAAAATGGAAATGCACATGTTATATGTATAAGTGGCAGAAGGATATAGATGAAAGACATAGCAATAAGCAGCAGCTCTGGTTCATGTTACTCCTTTCTAAAAAATAGTTCATCTAAAATCAATTATTACAACATTAACAGAGTATTCACCCTAAAACCAAAAGTGTATATAACACTGAAGAGACAAACACTGCATTGTTATCCTCCCAGATAATTTTATAAGATTGATAACACCTTAATAATACATACACATTGATTCACAAACTAAATGCCATAGTAGTGGAAGGCATGTTAAACTTTTAAACTTAGCAGATTCCTTCTCTTAGTATATTTTCAAAACAGTAACAACAACAACAAAAAAAAATCTCAGACATTTTAGAAAAAATGGCGAATTAGAAGTAATTTTAATTTACTGGCCAGGCATGGTGGCTCATGCCTGTAATCCCAGCACTTTGGGAGGCCGAGGTGGGCGGATCACCTGCAGTCAGGAGCTCGAGACCAGCCTGGCCAACATGGTGAAACCCCGTCTCTACTAAAAATACAAAAATTAGCCAGGCATGGTGGCACGCACCTGTAATTTCAGCTACCCAGGAGGCTGAGGCAGGAGAATCACTGGAACCCAGAAGGCAGAGGCTGCAGTGAGTTGAGATTGCGCCACTGCACTGCAGCCTGGGAGACAGAGCAAGATTCCGTTTCAAACAAAAAAATTTATTGGATGTCTGCCTAAACATTTAATGTATAAGAATTAAACACAAATACTTAAAATTCAAAATAGGTCATGTTAGTAATGTAAATCAAAATTAAACATGACTTTAAAAGTCAGTCATGTGTATTTGCATTTAAACTACTTTACAAATAATATATTTTATTTAGACATCAAATAAATTTTAATCTTGTCAATTCTTGTATTCCTCAAAATAAATTTCCTCAAATAGATCTTATTGGATACAAACTCAAGACACTGCTGCAAAAATATGTCAGGGTTTTGGTTTAAGAAAATTCATTCTAAAATTGGTAAAATAACTTAGTTTCTCTACCCATAAAGTTATTAGCCTTGATGAAACTGACATGAGTAGTCAGTGTTATCTAGTACCGTTGTTTATCACTCTCTCATGACTAAAGACCTCCAAATCATTTGATCTCCTGGCAAGGACCAAATTTGGTGGTTTTGGGGACCTTTGTAATGAGAGGAATTTTTAAATGTGATAAAGGACAGAAGCAATAAAAGACAAAACAAAAAATAAAAATAAGAAAAAAACTCAAACTCAATTCTCTTTTAAAAGTTCACTTATCTCTCAATACTTCACTTTTTTCAGACATTCCACCCATTTTTACATATCCTTTACACTTTATGGGTCAAATCCAGACTAGTGACTTAGAGGCCAAAAGTGTTTTAATTTTATTATGATAAATCTTAAAGCACCAAAATGAGAATTAAAAATATCTTAAGCAAGTAGGAATTGACAGAAGCTTTCAATTACCCATCTAGTTTGTATAAACATTGAAAGTTTTATTTGTAGTTCCTAGAATATGTAACTATATAACATGACATAATAGCTTACTATAGTTCCATTGCTCAAGCTTCACTAAGGAATTGGGATGATTCAACAAGGTAATTCTAATTTCAGTCTTTCTGACCTATTTATTAACTTTCAACAAAAAGGTGAAAGATTTAAAATTTTAAAAAATTTACCCAAGTAAAGTTGATCTTTAGAAATAATGTTTTCCAAGCTGCTTTTGAAGACAGTTAAGTAGGCAGCTCTACAATTCATATAAAATACTTCCTCTTCAGTTAGTGGAAATTTCTTTGTTCGAGGACTCTCTGAAGGTGTTGATTTCTGACTGGAGAAAGTTGCATCGCTTCGTGGACTGATCGCCATTCTATTGAAAAGTAATTTAAAAACTTGTTTGTCAATGTGAATCACTAAAATGCAAAGGTCACCATGTCTTTCACATACAGGGAGGAGAATTAAGATTTCATACATAGAAGAAAAAGATGAAAATTTATAACTTTTATGAAAAAATCAAGATATTAAAAGTTTTATATGTGGAAGAAAAAGATGAATATTATAGTTGTATAATGGATGTATTATACATTAAACAAGAATAAGCCCTTGCAGTTGATTTCTAATTTTAGATATATACATATGTATATATACAATTGTTCAAGTATGTAATAATAGCCAAAAGAACAAAGATATATACAAAAGAAAAATCACTGAACAAAGGAAAAGCACACATCTATTCTCTCAAAACAAAGTCAGATGAGACTCTTCATCAGGTTTTCAAGAGGACCAAATCAGTTAATACATGTGAAGCATATACAATACTGCTTGGCACGTAATAAGTGCTAAATCAACTGCAGATACTGAGAAACTCCAGAATAATGAGAAATTGGATATGAGTGGTAGTTGGCACCCATCTTCCACAGCAGGATCAGCAAGATCATTTCATTAACATCTCAATAATGCAGCCCCACATTTCAAATAGCTATATTTCAAAAGTGTCATTTATAACATTATCATAGTTTTACTGTGTTCCTTTATTAATAACAACGTTTGAGGTTGATATAGCACCTCTGTACATAAGAGCTTAAAGAACTGTCATACACCTTGTCTTATCCCTATTACAGTGGTCAGGTATTTTTTTGTCCGTTTTACAGATGAGGAAATTGAGGGGTAGCGATGTCACCCAGCTAGCAGTAAGTGGCAAAAAGCCGTAAATTTCACTAACAGTTTATTCTTTGTTAATGTGGATATAGGTTTACTGAACAATGGTTACTATGGGTTATCAGATTGGTCTAACAGCTTCCAACATTACTCTACCCAGCTTTGACTTCTAATATACACTCCAGCCAACTAAATTGAATATTTCAAGTTCAATAATAAGATGATACAGGTAGGGTCCCCTTCAGGACTCATTGGATTCCTACTCAGGAGACCTAAATCATTTGCACCTTTTTGAATTATATAGATCTTTTACACTTGGGAAAGAAAGATAATAATTGCTTACCATGGATGAAGTACCCTATTTATAATACACAGGCCGCCTGCCTGACACTTTCATATTACACCAGGTTTAGAAGGACCCCACAGGGATGTGGTGTCACAGTCTGGTTACTGCAAATTGGTATTACTATAATTAAGCATCAGTTTTAAACACATATGCGTGCATGCATCTCCTCACAAGTGTGAAAGAAAACTGTTTCAAGAAGGAAGGGAGAATGAATTTCACTTTGCAATAAGCAATTTTAAAGTGTAAGTATTTTTTAGGATCGTCCTCAAATATTCTTTCCAAACAAGGCAACTCCCTCACGTGGAAATCGCAAGGCAGAAATGTGCCAGAATTTTATTCTTCTCCTTTCTGTGACGAGAAACCAAACTGAAGCTTAAATAAACATATAATTGCACCCCCCGCAGGCTTGGAAACCTCCTTTATTTAAAACTCCAGCCAGAGACTGAGACAGGGGCCTAGAGAGTACATTGCAGCAAACGGCTCCATAAATAACCAGCCACACAACAGCAAGAAAAATAAACTGTTAACAAGCGCCTAAGGCTTCTACCGGGCCAAGCGAAAACAGAAAGCCATCCAGTCACCGTCCCTACACAGTGAAATACTTTCACAGGTAATCTCGGGCACCATCTCCCTATTTTTGTACTCCTCTGGAAATAAAACCGCATTTACATGTACATTGTAGGTATACACATGGGCCAAATGTTTATGACAGAGAAGCAGACAAAGCAGGGGAAGGAGAAGCAGCCACACAGAGAGGGACAGAGGGAGCGAAGAGATAGAGACAGCGAGCTGTTTGCTACCTAATTCTAGCTCACAAACAAGGAAGCGCAGCCAATTCTCTTCGGCGATTCCGCGTTCCCCTCACCGCAGCCGGACAGATCTGGGCCTTTCTCTAATCACCATGGCAACTGCACCTCACCGCCACCGGAAATAAGATGCAGAGCTCTTCCCCAAACGATCCGGCTAGAAATCTAGGAAGCGCTGATCCAGAGCGCACAGAGACAGCTGTGTTGTTCCTCTATCGCGGGGCCAGATAGAGGAGCCGCGGTATGGCCAGAGTAGTGAGAGAAAGTGCTCTGTTATACCCAGCAGAAACTGGGTGCTCTCCTGGGCCTAAACTCCCCTCCCGCTCCTTTGCTCGCTTACACCCGGATCCTTCGTCGCGGGGAGGGTGTTTCCGCCCGGCCGCGGTGGGCGTGACGCAACGTCCAGCGCGCGCTTTTCATGCCTTGGCGTTTCCTTTGGCGGAGTTTCTGTTTTCAGAAGATGCTGGGTTCGTTTTATTCAGCGGCAGTGGTGCTTCCCCGAATCTCAGAATGCCGTAGGTATCTCCTCCCTGGGTATTGCTGTTTTGGGGGGCCATCTGCAAGAAGAGTAGATGTTATGTGGCCCAACAGCCTTTCTCGTTTTCCTGTTTTTTCGGAGTATAAACTTGTCTCCTCTGTCGACAGACAGTTCTCGCTTGGTACCCTCAACTCTACGTCTCCTCCAGCGGTACTCATACGACAGTCTCCTTTGCTTTCTGTTTCTACGATGCTTTTGACAGATTTTGTAAGCTGTGGGCTGTATTTAAGGTGATGTCTAACTTGAAATAACATAAATAAGGTTAACACACAGAATGAAACAGAGTAGATAAAAACACGCCTTCGTAGTTTGTCAGTCCCTTGCCTTCATTAATGTGGCGCGTTCATATAAACCCGTGGGAGAACTCATGGACTGGGTCTAGATACCTGGATTCCAGTTAAGACTCTTTCACTGTTGGGCAAGTCACTTATCGACCCTGAGCTTCGGTTTTCTTACTTACACAATTAAGTTTGTACTGCATGATCTCTAAATTCCCATCCATGACCAATAACCTGATTATTGAGAATGACCATAGTGGGAATAGGCATTGTGCTAGATAATATTCATCTATTTTTCCTATCCTTCATCCATCCTATATTGAGATGCATAAAATAGTTGCTACCCTATAGAAACCTAAAAAAAAAAAAGGTCATTAAAGGTGGGAGTGGGGTGGATATCAAACACCTGTAATTCTTCCCTGGCTGTCCTTATCCTCAGGCTGATTTAGGTACCCCCTCTAGTGTAACCTATTCCTTAGTTTATTTCAGTATTAAGTAAAATGCGAAGTAACGCAGCTGGGGAAATATTTGCATCAAATAGGAATTGACATGAAAGGGGAAAGCTGTACAGAAATGATAACTTATATTTATTCAATCACGAATTACAATGTGGGTGCTGTGTTAATCAATTTATCTGCGTTTTTTCGTTTAATCCTAAAAGACTTTAGGGGATAAGAGCTGCTATTATCTTTACAGATAAACCCATCACCTAATATGGTGTTCAACACAGCTACCAATAAATGCATGTTTTACTGATGCCCTTAAAGGTTATGGATTATTGAGGAGGTTTTCCTTTCCCCAGAATTAAGCAAAGAGACTTGTCTCCCTACTCTTGCATTATAAAAATCATCCAGTTCTCAGATAAACAAAGCTGCAAAGATAATGTCACACACAAACACACACACACACAGTCCCTAAGAATGCAATGAAAACAAACGTGTATTTGCCGAACAAGTGGTAATACCTCCTGAACTGTGTGTCTGTGTATACGAGTGGGGAACCAAAAAACTATGAAAAGTGGAACTTTTTTTTTCTTTTTTTGAAACAGAGTCTAGCTCTCTTGGCCAGACTGGAGTGTAGTGTTGTGGTCACAGCTCACTGCAGCCTCTACCTCCCGGGCTCCCACGTACCACCATGCCTCCTTTTTTTTATTTTGTAAAGACGGTGTCTCCATGTTGCCCAGCCTGGTCTTGAAGTCCTGGGCTTAAGTGATCCTTCCACCTCAGCCTCCCAATGTGTTGGGATTATAGGAGTTAGCCACTGCGTCAGGCTTAAAAGTGGACGTTTTTGACAACTGTCCTCCTAACATGCACAGGAGATGTTATATTAGGCTTTTAGATAAATATATTCTGATAATAAATATACAACCTTAAAGTTGAGGTTAACATCTCACATATATAGCTAATATATATTATATGTGAGACTAGCAATTACTTTGCTAATTTTCTAAGTTTTAGCAAAGTGATTTAAGACCAAATCAGCAGTTAAGTAATGCATAAAACATAATGACATGTTAGTAGAGAATCTCCATCATTGTTAGTAAACTAAGTTTTGTTTGTTTGTTTGTTTTTAATGTGGTTACTGATGAGGTCATAAATGAGTGGTGCAAATAGCTATCTTGGCAAGTTACATATGAAGGTGGATTCATTTTTAAGTGATGTTGAAATGGTGACTATTTGGTATGTATTTGGAAGACTAAATGTGTAATATAACTTATGGGAGGGTGTGGTCTATCTCCTAATTTCTTAGAACCTTGAGCAGAAAAAAATTCAATACTACAATGAGTAATTGTGAAAATATATATGGTCCAAATGAATCTAAAATAAATAAGAAACAGCAAATGTTCAGTGACAATAGAGTGGATGGATGAATCTTAATGAGTTAAAGAACCAATTTGTATGAGACTACATTTGTTATCCTTATAAAACTTAAGAACAAGCCAAAATAAGCTATTTATGGTTATATACGTATGTGATAAGATTATTGTTAAAAGGCAGAGAAATGATAAATACATTTTAATAGATGACTTTTGAGGGAAGCAAATAGATGCATGTATACCCAATCATATTGGTAATGATCTAGTTCTTAAATTATGTGGTGAGTTTATGGGTGCTTATTTTCTTATGTTTTATAACTTACACAGCTTACATTTATTCATTAGTATCCATTATTCATTAGTATTACATTTATTCATTTAGTATGCACTACTTAAAATGTTTTTTAAAAGGATTTAGAGATTACCTATCTTAAGTCCTCACTAAGTGTAGCTTTCTATGCCTTCTCTTTGATCCTTTGGAGGAAGCAGATGAATTAGATAAATGCTGCTGTTGGTTTCGTTAGGCTAATCATCTTCCCTTCCAATCTTGCTCCTCTTTCTGTGTACATTATAAAATTAGCGACATAGTCATTTCTCTATCTAGGTTGAAACCTTCCCTTTTTTTAGATTGAAGTGGAAAAATCATGGACTTTGGAGTAAGACAAACAGGACTTGAATCTTGAGTCTGTTAACCAGCTGTGTGCTCCTTAGATTGTTACTCAGTGTCCTCATTGATAAAATAGTTGCTCAATAAGTATGCATTAATTGAATGATAAAGTTGCTACTTTGGAAAGATTTCATTCTATGTAGACAGATACATGCCTTTTTAGTAGCTCTTGCTATAAGTAATCAAATCCCATTCTAGACCTTTTTTCTTCTACCTTTTGCTTTATAAAGCCTCCTTTAAAAAATACCATTTGCTTAGTCTTTCTAATTAGTGTACATCATCATGCTAATTCAGCCAAGGATATTCTCTACCAGAGTTAACTTTATTCTGTTCCAAGCTATGACTGAACTAAAGCTATAAAGTTGGAATAGCATTATTGTTGTAGAAAACTATTCGTAACAGTAACAGTGGGGGCCATTCTGCTGATGTATTTGTAGTCTGAGAGTTTTCTGAGAGAACTTTAAAATGTGCTGTATTTTCTAAGATAAGGGAAAATGAATATAAACGTATCCTGGATATTTATTGTGCCTATATGCTGTAATCATGTTGATGCTACTGCCAGGTACAATGATTTTTATTTTGTGGATTGATTTATAAAGAAATAGGTGGGTGGAATGATGTGTCAGGCCAAGTGAAAGTTAACCATTAAATAAACATCCTTTGAATTATAGTAGATATTCAAAGTTATATAATTTCTTTTATAAATAAAGTGTCCTGCATTTTAAAAGAAGATTGGTGAAATCATTAGTACTTTATATAAGAAAAATATGAAATTTAAATGCAATTCTTTCCTGCTTGTAAAAGTCAGTAAAGTCTAATAGAGGAAGGTATAATAGAGCCTTTTTGGCTGAGCGTGGTGACTCTCACCTGTTGGTTTAACTTAGAATTTTTTTACTTCATAATAGTGTGAAAGCAATATGCGTTCAGTAGAAACTACTTCAAGTACCCATATGACCATTCTTTACTTTCAGTGCGGTATTCAATAAATTACATGAGATATTCAACACTTTATTTTAAAAGAGATTTTGGATTAGATGATTTACCCAACTATAAGTTAATTTAAGAGTTCTCAGCACATTTAAGCTATGATGTTCAGTAGGTTAAATGTGTGAAATGCATTTTCAACTAATAGTTTCAATTTACAATGGGTTTGTTGTAACATAATCCTGTTGTAAGTCGAGGATCTATGTATTTTTTGCTTTCAACTTCTTAAAAAGGCGAGAATGTTTAAAGCAAAACTTAAACACTATTATGGGGTTATATGTAGACATAATGTGTATGATACTAGTGGCACAAAGCACAGAGGGAGTTGACTATAATGTTGCAAGATTCTTCTCTTTTACATGAAGTAGTACTGTATTATTATAACTCTAGATAGACTGTGATATGTTAAAAAGGCATATTGTAATCCCCAGAATAACCTCTGAAAATACAAAGAGGCATACCTAAAAAACAGATACAGGGATTGAAATGATATATTTAAAAATACTGTTAATTCAAAAGAAGACAGGTAAAATAGAACAAAGGAACAAAAGCAGGTGGGACAAATAGAAAACAACTATCTAAATGGTAGACCCAACCAGATAATTACATCAAGTTTAAGTGCAGTAAAGACATCAATGAAAAAGGTAGAGAATAAGGCTAGATTTTTTTTTTTTTAAAGCGAGTCCTAACTCTTCACTGTCTATAAGGAACAAACATGAAAGTTTTTTTTTTTTAAAGGGAAAGGTAGATATAACAGTCTAACAGGAGAGAAAGCAAATGATCAATATCCAGAATGAAAGGATAAATTGTACTTACATGAAAGAGAACACAAACTAGCAGCATCCAAAATGAAAGAGCAGAATATCACTAAAGATACTATAGATATTAAAAGAGGTAATATCATTAAAGCCTTTATTCCAGTGAACTTGACAACTTATACAAAATTGACAAATTCCTTGAAAAATACAACTTAGCATGATGGCATAAGATGATATAGAAAATCTGCATAATTAAGGGAATATAATTTGTTACTAAGAATCTTCCCACAAAGACCCAGACGATTTCATTGGTTAATTGTACAAAGAACATACCCATTCATGAGAAAATAAAACCCTCAGCAAACTAGGAATAGGAAGGAACTTCTCATTTCCTTGAAAAACCTATAGGTAATATATTCAGTATTGAAAACTTTTTCTAAGATTAGGAAAAAGGCAAGAATGTGTCCTCTCACC